TTGATTTAGGGCATATAGACGTGAGAATGTGCTGTCTGACGGTATCCGGTGACAGCGGAGTTGTTAGCGTTCCAAGATTTATTCAGATGCAGTGTGACTTTGCAGTTGTTGTTGTTGCTTTAAGTGTTTAAGAGGTCGCCTTCTGCCTCAGTAATATCGGCTGACCTGTCCCTCTTTAGGAGTCATGTGTCGAGTAGGGTACACGTCTATTGTGAGTTTTAGCATTGATAAGATTTCTACTTTCTTATTGATATGATTTCATTTTTGATTTTTAGAAATTGATAGAATTTCTGTGGCTGCTCTGTTTGTATACATTCGAGTTGCTGTTCATCTCTCAGAAATAGAGTTAATTTGGCCTTCGCTATTGCATCTCTTGGCTTTAGGAGATCTATGACAGATAGCAGATCTAACTGCAATTCTTGTTTTAAGGAGCCCGGGCAGGGGCATGGTCTGGTTGACTGCAAGATGGGCATACGTTGTCATGGTGCTTTTTGTGACCGAGATGGCTCCATCGACTTTCATTATGAGTATGGCTTTTGTGGATTTTGGGTTGAATTTTGTAGAGCCATATGCCGATCTTACTTGCATCCAATTAGGCTTTTTGGACAATGGAGGCTTTGATTTTGCTTTCCATCTCCGGTTTGCTGAAGGCTGTATCTTCGCCTTGTCTAGAGCTAGCTTTGCCAGTGTGTCTGCTTCTCAGTTTCATGAATATCTACTTGAGACGGGATCCAACACAGCTCCACCTGTCCGATAGTGATATGTTTTCGTATAGAATATTATTGACTGTGTTTGGTCTAGAGTTTGAGATTCTGCTGCTGATCGCTTGTAGTGCACGTAACAAGTCTGACAGGATGACTGCCTTTGTTTCCGGTATGAGTTTGAGTACATGATGAATTGCCTCCAATTCAGCAGCGAATACTGACTGGCTGTCAGAGAGGCAGGCTGACCGAATGTGCTTGGGGTTGGGAGCTGTGGATGTAGATCCAGTAACCGGCAGTGTTGTTGATAGGATTCTTGGATCCATCTGTATATATGGGCCCAGTTAGCTTTTCTGGGCTAACTGTAAAGGGTTCATGGAAAGACATAACAACATTCAAACTCAGTCGCAGCCTTTTCTAGAATTATACCAGAGGTATCATGGCAAAAGGCTGAAGATCACGTTCTTGAAATAGAACGTCAGTACCGCCAACGTGACGGCGTAGATATCAACCTTGTCCCACCAGTTATCATACCCTGGTGTGATAGTACGGATTCAGATACGTCATCAGCTGAGTCTGACGCTTGCTAAAGACATCATCTGTAGAAGAACAAATACTTCTTGATTCACAAACCCAACCTTTCATGTACTCATCCCGTCTCATAGATTACCTATTCCATCATTTTTTCAAAGCAAATATAATGCAGTACATATCTAAATTGATAACCCCGTCAAACGCATAACCCAATAAGCAATAACAGCAATATTTTGAGACCAGGTGACATTTGCACCTGTGAGAATGCACGGGCCGGTGTGAGGTCGTCATCTCGGGACAGGTGTTAGGTAATTACCGCAGTCTACAGGCCGTAACATACATGCATGACATATATGGATATATGCTATTTTCATAGCCCTGAGATTCGTATTTATTATATGAAGCAAGAAAAGCATTTTTCCCAGCATTTTTGACAGTACTTTTAATATTCATTTTAGAGAAGTCCATAGTTTCAATGTTGTTATATTATTGGAGATCTGGTTGGGGCCTATTTCTGGATTGTAAAGGGACCGATGAATGTCTATGTTTGTTTTACTGCCTTTCTGGACTGCTGGGGAATGTAAGAGGACCATGTCATCAACAAGGAATGTAGGAAAATTGTCATTTGGGCCATTTGCCGGAACAGAAAATAGTCACTGGGGTCTAAGTCTGGGCTGTACAGTTAAATTACCCACCCTACAGCCCAGACTTAGCCCCCAGTGACTATTTCCTGTTCCGGCAAATGAAATCTGCCCTACGTTGAAGACGTGACGAGGACATAAAGGCTGCCACAGAGGCGTGGTTAGAGGGTCAATCTGTGGATTTCTATAAAAGTGGTATTAAAAGCTTGAAGGACAAATGGAATAAGTGTATTGAGGTGAATGGAGATTATATTGAAAAATAAAAGTGCAAAAGATATTCTGCGACTTGGTCTTATATTGAAGTTGCAAAACTTATTGAACGCCCCTCGTACCTGTTCTTGGGCAGTTCTTGACTGGCTTCAATGTTCTGCCTTGCAATATTCTTGCGATCCTCAGGGTGTCCAAAAGTTCCTTAAAGTGATCAGTCACATATACGTATTTATTACCCACGTGGTGAAGAGACAGGTGGTAAGATACTAAATCCGTACGTCACACGTGTGTCGTACAAGGTTGACCTTGTTTTATTCGTTTTGATTGGATAACCGTGACCTCTGTCACACCGGGACTACTTTTTTCATTCATAAAAAATCGCGAGACGTCATTCATTTTGCGATTACAAGGCAGAACTGAAGAAATTCATGAGAACGAGAGATATTTACAAACACTTTATTAAACCAAACAAGATAGTCACACGCATCAAATTCGGTTTGCATTCTATATAAGTTATGCATAGAGCTCCTACAGACATATAATCGAGCTAGATCTATAAATCGATTTACAATGTACGACTGCCGATCGAGCGCGTCCCTTGAGCGTGACGCACCCAACTTTCAATTTGATTTAACGTAAAAGGATAGGCGTGGTGAAATGAAGTCTGTTTAAACTATCTGGACAGATATCTAGACTTACTTGGGATGATCCGGTTGTGCCATCGGTGTCCCCCTTGAAGCGTATTTTGTGGCGCTGTTTCGGGAGGTGTTGTTCATGAATGAACGAACACGACAGCACGACCAGATCACTTAAAGTTCACAGTTCCGATACAAATCATTCGAAAACTCCGTGGAAGTGTGCTTGACTTCTGATTTTGTGGCCCCAAACATCCCAAATGTGAACAGTTACATTCCCTATCTCTAGCGTAAAACGCTGTGAGTGGATCGCGGTTGTCTTTTCTTATTCTGGTGGCGACCTTGCCCTTCGATCGTTCGAAGCTGTCACTGACATGCAAGCAGATTTGAGTTTGTTGATTTTCACGTCTTCAGTATATAGGGTGGTACAGTTAACATGAATGTCTTGGGCGAACAGTCTGATTTCCCTCTTCCAAAATGGTACGGACATGATATAAATTCAGCTGATAGATCAATGAAACCGAACCACTTTGATTGTACAGACGGGACCCCGGCAGTGTGATGCGTGTGACTGTTGGTCCGATATTCAAAGAGCGGCGCTAATGTGACATTTCAAATTTTCTTATCGGTGTCCTGCGTACTAACAACATGGCGCTTGAATTACCATAAGTTGAAGACTTTCTTCCAAAAGGATCTTGAGCATCGGTGCTGGTTTGTTTGCAAACAGAACAGCAGGCGCATGTTGTTAATGCGTATGCATAAACATGTCAACAATGCCCATATTTGGTCTTATATCAATATTCATGCGCAACCAGATTTTGCAACCGGTTTCAGTTTGGTCTGTCAACGAACGAAAGTTGTTATGTATTTACACTTAGATATATATTTAACGTGGGTAATAATAATAAAATACCACACTCGTGAACTTTCTATGGTATCTGACCTCGCTTTCGCTCGGTCAGATACCATAGAAGTCCACTCGTTTCGTAAAAATGGTATCTAACGAGAATGAGTGTAGTATTCTCTATGTACACATGCAATTAGTTTCTTAAGTGGTTTCATCACTATTGTCGTCACGATATGGCTGAAATACTGCCGATGTGACGTTAAATCATAACTCACTCACTCACGCATCACTATTTGACACATGCTTTTTAGTTGGCGCCGTACAGTGGAGATTCTTATAGTTATGGAAATGGTTTGTTGTTTTACATGTTATCCATCTGATATCAACACCGCCGGTGCACTAGCCGCCGTTTGACTAGGACTATGTTGTGTGCGGGTGATGGTAGTGTGATGGTTAGTCGGGTATTAGGTATTGCCTTGAGTATGATTCTTGATTTGTCTGCACCAAATCTAGCTCGTGGGCCTCATCACAGTGGTGAACATCTGAAACCTGCATCACTTTGGGTTTTCCTCCCAGATTAACCTGACGTACTGTGATATCACTGGAATACTGTTCAAAGCAACGTTAAAGCAATTTCACTCAATCCAAATAATAGTATTTTTATTGGAGTCCAAACTGTCGGGGCGGACCGATATTCGAACCACACATTATTTGGAACATAACGAGTCATGAACACTTCATATGCACTAGCATATACAAAATCAGGTAGGCAACATACATAATTCCCAACTAATAATATGCCTAAATCAATATACAGTAAACTACGTTTATAACGAACACGTTTATAACGAACAGACCGATATAACGAACTTATTTTTTAGTCCCGACCATTTCTTGTATAAATGCTGTATATGCCTAAAACGAACTACGATTATTACGAACTAAAATTAGTGGTCCCTTCGAGTTCGTTATAACCGTAGTTTACTGTAGACAATATCAATTATTTATACATGCGCTTTGTGAATTGCACAATGAAACATTGCATCATGTTTCATCACGTTTACCATTATCAATACACTCTATATTCATTCGGGGGCACGGGTGGCCCAGTCGTCTAAGGCGCCGCGATTCGCTGTGCAGAGTTGCGTCCCTTGGGCACGCCAGAAACCTATGATTGTGGGTTCGAATCCCGGTTCGCCCCAATTATGTTTCTAGGTTTGTCAGCACCATACCCGTGCTCGTGGGTTTCACCGAAGTGGTAAACGTCTGAGACCTGCATCACTTCGGGCTTTCCTCCCACATTAAGCTGACACGCCGTGATATAACTGGAATACTGTTAAAAGCGGCGTTAAACCCAACTCACTCACTCACTCACTCTATATTCATTCGTATATAAGTATCGTTTTAGAGGACCATATGCATATTTTTTCAGATTATGCCAACGCTAATAGCTCTGTTCATCGCAGCTGTTGTTTCATGTAAGTAGCTTGAATAAGTTATGTTTACAGTGTAGTAATACAGCAATCATATACAACTGTATATTCCAAATTCACATTATGGATACAATAAAGTTAATGTATTTCTTTGATGTATGCTTCATATATCTATAAACATGGGGCATGGCCTGGGTTATAAAACCAGCAACGCAACAAATAGTATTCGAGGTCGCTCTTTTTCATTCAATCCTGTTGAATGGCATATCTTGCACGTGTTGCCATCATTGCTCTCCTGATGATCCGGGGTAGAATAGGTCTTCAGCATCCAATGCCTGCCGTGAAAGGCGACTATGCTTGTCGTAAGAGGCGACTAACGGGATCGGGTGGTCAGGCTGGCTGACTTGGTTGATGCATGTCATCGTATCCTAATGGCGTGGATCGATGCTCGTGAAGTCAGTCACTGGATTGTCTGGTCCAGACTCGATTATTTACAGACCGCCGTCATATAGCTGGAATAATGTTGAGTGCGGCGTTAAACAACAAACAAACAAACACACAAGCAAACAAACAAACAATCAATCCTTCAGTGACTGTTCTTCCTTTAGTTCACCCGATTGTGTTTCAAGGTTTGTCAGCACCATACCAGTGCTCACTGGGGTCACCAAAGCGGTAAACGTCTGGGACCTGCATCACTTGCGACTTTCATCCCTCAGTAAGCTGGACACGCAATGATTGAACTAGAATACTGTTAGAAGCGGCGTTAAACCCAACTCACCCCAAATAATGTTTTTTCACTGGAGTCCCATCTATCGGGACGACGGGGTTCGAACCCACACATATAACTTCTGTCTACCAGAGAATCAACTTAGAATGTTCTGGGTTTAAAGAAATGGTTCATCGTATATCTTATTCACATTCCTGTAAATGTAAGCAAAACCTACACATGCATATACGTGTCTGGTTCAAAACTAGACGACGCAAAAGAAAAGAAAAATCCGAGAAACCAAGATGCAAAGACGCAAACAAATAATCAGTTGCATCATCGCACAGTGTCAGATATGCCTGCTTTTAAAGACACCAATCCTATTTATAGAAGGACCCGCGTGGCCCAGTCGTCTAGTCGCTCTGCAGAGTTGCGTCCCTTGGGCGTGCCAGAAACTTAAGATTGTGTGTTCGAATCCCGTTTTACCCCTACTGTTTCTAGCTTTGTCAGCACCATACCCGTGGTAAACGTCTAAGAACTGCTTTACTTCGGGTTTCTCTACCACATGAAGCTGACATGCCGTGATATTATTGGAATACTGCTCAATACGGCGTCAAACTCATGTAATTCACTCATTACAGGTGTCGAGTGTAGCAGCCTGACAGGCAAACAGTTCTACATATATACGGGCAAAAAGACATGGAACGAAGCAAGGACAATATGCGAGGACAGTGGAACACGCCTGGCTAAGATAGACAACCAGCAGACTTTGGATGCTCTTTTGGCTTATGAAAAGACTGAACATTGGAAACGGGACATGTATGACAGAATTTAACTATAACTATTTTTGATGAAGTACATGAAGTACATGTAAACAAAATAATTATCAAAATTCTTTCCTCCTGAAATATATAAAATATATACTTTTTAGTGTTGGTGAAGTGTGATGCAAGTCAGCTTCTCAAATTAAAAATACAAGCTGCAACACTTTATAATAATTAGATAACTCTGCTCAGGAACAGATGGTCACTGGATTGTCAAAATTGGTACTACACTTATGTTTAACGTCGTTGTAGTCGCAGATTGTAGTAGGTGTTTACCACTTCCACAATGATAATAAGTGGGGCGGAACTGGGTTCGAATCTACCACAAATATATTTTTTTGCAAGATAATGGTAGCGTAAAATAGTTTTGTTTTGGGTTGTATTTTTCAAGTCACATTTACAAATAAAACTTAGCAGCTTAAAAGTGTAAGTTTAAAGTATAGTAGATGTACATATAGCAGAGAGTTAGAAAGAAAGTACCGATTTACTCATAAAGTTTACATAAATAAATTATTCATGTATATCTTTGACCTCAGGAAAGGCCATTTCTGGATTGGACTGAACTGTGACGAAGACTTTCGGTACCAGTGGGATCACTGTGAGGCTGTTGATAGTTCATCCTTTACATTCTGGAAAGGCAAAGCCAACGATAAGACAAAACTATGTGTTTATGCTAAAAAGGAAAAATTAACATGGTTCAGCGAAAAGTGTGACCACAGTGGCTATCAGTATCTGTGCCAGAAAGACACGGGTGAGTAACCAGACACCAGGGCCCCGTTGCACAAAGCGATCTTAGCACTAAGACGATCGAAACTCCTACACTTTAACATAGACATACGAAAGTCGTAGCGCTGAGGTCGCTTTGAGCAACAGCGTCCAGGGAAGCAATCTTAGTGTTAGGACCGTACATTGACACTGACCTAAGATATTGAAACGAGTCTTACGGCATCATGCCACGTAGAATCCTTTCTTCTACGTCCGTCGTAACCATTACTATTAAACTTGCGAAGTCTTAACGTCTCATAAACTCTTTTCTCTGTCAAAGGAATACACCCGTTACATATTCCGCATCCGAAAAAATGGTATAAATAATGCAGGGTAAACCCCTTTTGTTTACGTTACCGCATTGTGTATACGTATTTACGAATGTGTATACGATTGGAATCGCTCCGGAAACCAAGTTTTAGGCATACCCGTTTGTAGTCGGTAAACCAAGAAATGCGGTGGAGGTGAACAACTGGTTTGCACCAACGTAACAAATGAAATTATTTAATTTGAAAGGAGTCGCTTTTACTAGAATGGTAACTGCTAAGACAACTTTATACTTGTTGTGTATAGCACCATATGCCGCATATACTTCTTTTGGACAACATTTGAAGTTCATCATCAAATATATGCAATGTAGGCACGGCGAAAATGCGTCGAAATGATCTCTCTTCGCTATCAGTAAACAGAAAGTTTCAGTGACAATTTCGATCGACTTTCTCCGAGTAATCCGAATACAATCTCAGTTTTATGACACATACATGATCCATGATGTAATCATGTGAATATTGCGAGAGGTGAAATAAGTAAAACCTTTCATTTTCATCATAAGCCATTTACTTTTTCAAATGTTATTAAATGTTTTGGGTTATTGTTAGGAACGCGCTTATAGTTCTGAGAAATTGTGGAATGGGATATAAGCAAGAAGCGACTGTTACTTCCTTGTGTTTGGCGGTTCCAGGTCCCTGTACTTATACAGAGCACACTGGGACGTGTTCGGGATCTAATCATAAGAAGACGACTGACAAAGCTGTTGTGGATGTCGCTGAATGTGAAGACCTGTGTAGTAACACCACAAAGGACGAGCTAGCGTGTTGGATGTACAGTTACAACAATCCGACCTGTACGCTGTATTTCCACAAGGACCCATGGGCATGTATAGCTCATTCACCGGCCACTACAACAAAGACACGGACCTGCTTTACATGTGTGTATAAATATGTGTTCACTCTGTTACTGACACCTTCCCAAAGAAATACAAAAGAACACTGATTTACCTTGTTCACAATATTTGTCTGTTGTTTTACGCCGCACTCAACAAAATTCCAGCTGTATGACGGCGGTCTGTAAGTAATCGAGTCTGAACCAGACAATCCAGTGATTGATATCATGAGAATCGATCCACGCAGTTTAGATACGATGACATGCAAGTCAAGTCAGTGAACCTGACCACCCGATCCCATTAGTCGCCTCCGACAAGCAACGAGGCCTCTTACGCATGTGTTGCTGAAGACCTATTCTACCCCGGATCTTCACGGGTTAACTCAATAACATCCCATCCTATTGTTACCTGGCCGAAACACAACATTCACGTTCGTCTGCACAACGAGTGAGTGAGTGAGTACGGTTTTACGCCGCTTTTAGCAATATTGCAGCAATATCACGGCAGGGGACACCAGAAATGGGTTTCACACATTGTACCCATGTCGGGAATCGAACCCGGGTCTTCGGCGTGACGAGCGAACACCCCCCCCCCCCCCCCCCCCCTCCTCACCCCCACCCCCGCGCTTCGACTTAAGCAATATTTATTCATATATTCTTGATATAACCGAAATGTAGTTCATATTCACTAACTCTTCTGTGTAATTTCGTTTTTTGCCGACAGTCGAAACCTTGACTTCGCCCTCAACGGACAGCAACTCTGAAGAGAAACCAATTATCGACTGCGACTTATACACAACCCCTGCTGCATCTACCTCAGCACCAACGACAGCATTCTCCACAACCACCATGGCAACTACCACCACAACTACTACACTGGCAGCAACTTCTACCACTACAATCGCACCTACTGTTACAAAACCAACGACTCAAATTATACCTATTTCTACCAACACAAAGTCAACAATCAATCCTGCACCAACAGCTACTTCTACCAGGGAAACTGAGGTAACCACATCATCAACAACTAATCAAACTAACCCAGTCACTACAATCATCACTTCGGCAATTAATCCCTCTACCCCAGACACTGCAAGTATCACCATGGCAACTATTAACACTACCCCGGCCACTACAAGTATCACCATGGGAACTACTCCAACTACCCCGGCCACTGCAAATATCACCATGGGAACTACTCCAACTACCCCGGCCACTGCAAGTATCACCATGGGAACTACTCCAACTACCCCGGCCACTGCAAGTATGACCAGGGCAACTACCCCGGCCACTGCAAGTATCACCATGGGAACTTCTCCAACTACTCCGGCCACTGCAAGTTTCACCATGGGAACTACTCCAACTGACCCGGCTACTGCAAGTATCACCATGGGAACTAGTCCAACTACCCCGGCCACTCCAAGTTTCACCATGGGAACTACTCCAACTACCCCAACCACTGCAAGTATGACCAGGGCAACTACCCTGGCTACTGCAAGTATCACCATGGGAACTACTCCAACTACCCCGGCCACTGCAAGTATGACCATGGGAACTACTCCAACTACCCCGGCCACTGCAAGTATCACCATGGGAACTACTCCAACTACCCCGGCCACTGCAAGTATCACCATGGGAACTACTCCAACTACCCCGGCCACTGCAAGTATGACCAGGGCAACTACCCCGGCCACTGCAAGTATCACCATGGGAACTACTCCAACTACCCCGGCCACTGCAAGTATCACCATGGGAACTACTCCAACTACCCCGGCCACTGCAAGTATCACCATGGGAACTACTCCAACTACCCCAACCACAGCAAGTATGACCAGGGCAACTACCCCATCCACTGCAAGTATGACCATGGGAACTACTCCAACTACCCCGGCCACTGCAAGTATCACCATGGGAACTACTCCAACTACCCCGGCCACTGCAAGTATCACCATGGGAACTACTCCAACTACCCCGGCCACTGCAAGTATCACCATGGGAACTACTCCAACTACCCCAGCCACTGCAAGTTTCACCATGGCAACTACTGCAACTACCCCGGCCACTGCAAGTATCACCATGGGAACTACTCCAACTACCCCGGCCACTGCAAGTATCACCATGGGAACTACTCCAACTACCCCGGCCACTGCAAGTATCACCAGGGCAACTACCCCGGCCACTGCAAGTATGACCATGGGAACTACTCCAACTACCCCGGCTACTGCAAGTATTACCATGGCAACTACTCCAACTACCCCAGCCACTCCAAGTTTCACCATGGGAACTGCTCCAACTACCCCGGCCACTGCAAGTATCACCATGGGAACTACTCCAACTACCCAGGCCACTGCAAGTATCACCATGGGAACTACTCCAACTACCCCGGCTACTGCAAGTATCACCATGGGAACTACTCCAACTACCCCGGCCACTCCAAGTTTCACCATGGGAACTACTCCAACTACCCCAACCACTGCAAGTATGACCAGGGCAACTACCCCATCCACTGCAAGCATGACCATGGGAACTACTCCAACTACCCCAGCCACTGCAAGTATCACCATGGGAACTACTCCAACTACCCCGGCTACTGCAAGTATCACCATGGGAACTATTCCAATTACCCCGACCACTGCAAGTATGACCAGTGCAACTATCCTGGCCACTGCAAGTATCACCATGGGAACTACTCCAACTACCCCGGCCACTGCAAGTATCACCATGGGAACTACTCCAACTACCCAGGCCACTGCAAGTATCACCATGGCAACTACTGCAACTACCCCGGCCACTGCAAGTATCACCATGGGAACTACTCCATCTATCCCAGCCACTGCAAGTATCACCATGGGAACTACTCCAACTACCCCGGCCACTGCAAGTATCACCAGGGCAACTACCCCGGCCACTGCAAGTATGACCATGGGAACTACTCCAACTACCCCGGCCACTGCAAGTATGACCAGGGCAACTACCCCGGCCACTGCAAGTATCGCCATGGGAACTACTCCAACTACCCCGGCCACTGCAAGTATCACCATGGGAACTACTCCAACTACCCCGGCCACTGCAAGTATCACCATGGGATCTACTCCAACTACCCCGGCCACTGCAAGTATCACCAGGGCAACTACCCCAACCACTGCAAGTATCACCATGGGAACTACTCCAACTACCCCAGGCACTGCAAGTATCACCATGGGAACTACTCCAACTACCCCGGCTACTGCAAGTATCACCATGGGAACTACTCCAATTACCCCGACCACTGCAAGTATGACAGGCGCAACTACCCCGGCCACTGCAAGTATCACCATGGCAACTACTCCAACTACCCCGGCCACTGCAAGTATCACCATGGGAACTACTCCAACTATCCCGGCCACTGCAAGTATGACCATGGGAACTACTCCAACTACCCCGGCCACTGCAAGTATCACCAGGGCAACTACCCCGGCCACTGCAAGTATGACCATGGGAACTACTCCAACTACCCCGGCCACTGCAAGTATGACCAGGGCAACTACCCCGGCCACTGCAAGTATCGCCATGGGAACTACTCCAACTACCCCGGCCACTGCAAGTATCACCATGGGAACTACTCCAACTACCCCGGCCACTGCAAGTATCACCATGGGAACTACTCCAACTACCCTGGCCACTGCAAGTATCACCAGGGCAACTACCCCGGCCACTGCAAGTATGACCATGGGAACTACTCCAACTACCCCGGCCACTGCAAGTATCACCATGGCAACTACTCCAACTACCCCGGCTACTGCAAGTATCACCATGGGAACTACTCCAACTACCCCGGCCACTCCAAGTTTCACCATGGGAACTACTCCAACTACCCCAACCACTGCAAGTATGACCAGGGCAACTACCCCGGCCACTGCAAGTATCGCCATGGGAACTGCTCCAACTACCCCGGCCACTGCAAGTATCACCATGGGAACTACTCCAACTACCCCGGCCACTGCAAGTATCACCATGGGAACTACTCCAACTACCCCGGCCACTGCAAGTATCACCATGGGAACTACTCCAACTACCCCAGCCACTGCAAGTATCACCAGGGCGACTACTCCAACTACCCCGGCCACTGCAAGTATCACCATGGGAACCACTCCAACTACACAGGCCACTGCAAGTATCACCATGGGAACTACTCCAACTACCCCGGCCACTGCAAGTATCACCAGGGCAACTACTCCAACTACCCCGGCCACTGCAAGTATCACCATGGCAACTACACCAACTATCCTGGCCACTGCAAGTATCACCATGGCAACTACACCAACTATCCTGGCCACTGCAAGTGTCACCGTGGCAACTACTCCAACTACCCCGGCCATTGCAAGTATCACCAGGGCATCTACTCCAAATACCTTGGCAACTGCAAAAATCACCATGGCAACTACTCCAACTACCCTGGCCACTGCAAATATCACCATGGCAACTGCTCCAACTACCCTGGCCACTGCAAGTATCACTATGGGAACTACCACGACTAACTCGCCTACTGGTGGTCCATCAGCTTCTACTGCACGGGCGTCGTCAACAGCAACGGACACAGCGACCTCCACTACACAAAGCATAATGGCTACACCCACCGCATCATCAGAGACGACAATGTCTTCAACAGCCGCCATGTTCTCCTCGCCTTCCGTGGCAAGTAAGCTGAAATAATATAATACAAAGGAAATAATAGCTTTAACCGGGTAATGTGATATAGGGCCAGATTAACTGTTTCATTTCGTGCTTCCACCACCATACCTTTACAATAATCTGATATCCGACTTTGTGTATCGATCTGTACAAAAATAATTAACCAGCATTTACAGCATTTGCATCATAAGAGTGAGTAAGTATTGTTTTACGCCGCATTTAGCAATATTATAGCAATTCCAGCGGGTGAGACCAGAAATGGGCTCCACACAATATTCCCATGTGGGGATTCGATCCCGGTCTTAGGCACGACCAGTGGACGCTCATCAGCAGGCTGCCCCACCGCCCCTGCACCCCTAAGAAATACCCCCCACGAGGGCTGGGACGGGTAACTCGGCTACTCGGGATCGGGTGGTTACTACCCGGATAACCACGGGACCCCCGGGCCCTAGGTTAGTCACGTTTAATGACAAAACTTATCGAAAACTCTACGGTCACACTACATGTCACTAATGTTCCCGTTTCTTTCTGACTATGCACGCATTCCTGCTGACTTTTATATGCTTGAAAAGAAGATAAAACTTCATGCAGTAAACTTCAGTGTATGCATGACCAGATCATTTTATACGTGTAGCTAAATACATTTTGCCAGGGCTACGGTCGAACTTTTCCCAATCCGACAGTTTGTACCTATCTCTTGAGACCTACAGCGGGTACCCGGGTAGGGTCGGGTAATAGCGGGGTGGGTACCCGGGTAGTAAATGTTGAATCGTCCCAGCCCTACCTCCCATCTGTGTACTAAAATATATTAATAATATAGAATAATATCGCTTGCGGTACAATATATTTCAGATTCTTCTGGGAACAGCAAGCTGTGTCCGTGTTTGATGTGCGCTGAAACACAAACTGTGACCGAGATACAGCGTATCATAGACGCCATTCTCCTGCTCCTGAAGTTAGACAAATCCAAGCTGTCAGCCACAAGGAGGAAGCGGGAGTCAGCGCCGGACGACAGACCCTCAGCACAGGCCATTGGCTACTCGGGAATAATCTTCATCGTCATCACATTCAGTTTCTTTGTCCTGAGTGATTTAATACGACTCTGTCAGTTTCTCTCCGGCAACAATCAAACCCACAATTACAGATCAAGAACAATGCCTGAGGAGCGAGTGAGTATGGTTTTACGCCGCGTTTAGCAATATTCCAGCAATATCACAGCAGAAATAGGCTTCACTCGTACCCATGCGGGGAATCGAACCCGGTTCTTAGGCATGACGAGTGGACGCTTAAACCACCAGGCTACCCCACCGCATCTTAAGTCACACTATCTTGTGTATGAGTTCCCGAGCACATAAATATATTAGGTATCGTGAAAAAAAAGTAAATGAAAAAAAGCAATATGACAGTAAAGGTTTGGAAACTTTTGGTATCGTGTCCTTATACGTAGAGCGTATGTTAGAAATGCGACTGTTATACAGGGGTAAATTTCACAACAAATTTGTATGTTACCAGCAGGGCTTGCTCCTTTTCAAAGTTACTGGCCCTTCTCCAAACCACCATAACTCAATGGTGGTGGCCGCGAAGTGGCCGAACCTAACGTCGTGTAGCCACCTAGCAGGGATCTGAAAAATGTTGAACTCCTCACCCCTAAAACGTTTTTTCCAGAAATCTGAGATTAAATCTTGTTCCATTTGCCTCATTTCATGGCGATTAATGAACAAAAAAAAGTTGTGTACGCAACATGTCAAAATGGCGTCCGGTTGTCATTCTACCGAGGTGATCCAACTAAAAAACTTAAACATACACGGAGAAGGGGTGAAATGTTGACTTGCCATCTACTTAACGTTCCAGCAAGCCCTTGTAATTTTAACTGGCCACATAGCAGTGAAATCGACCCTGATATATTTATTTCAGTGTGTCGTTACTTGTACTGTCAACCATTAGTTTCCTCTTGGCCTTTGCTGATGACCAAGCTGTTGTCTTACAAATATTGTAATACATTACATGGAATAAAAATTCTTGTGAAGACGTACCATCTTTTTGAGTTATCAACACATCTGGGACATTACGTCTCTTACGGTATAACTTTTGTTGATACTTGCGATAATATCCTGCTTGACGATAAAGGCAGCTGAATATTAATGTAATTCGACACACCATAACCGTGTTCAATGTTTGTGAAGTACATTAATAGTGTATGGGCTGAATGAAAGGACGAAAGAACAGAATACCCAGGGAACCAGGCTGGCTATTGTGCAGTCATTGCCTGGGTCAGTGTAGCGCCAGCGCAGCATACCGATGGAATCAGGCTGATGAAAGAAAACATTTCACGGTAGAATCATGTCAACAAGGTTTATGATAATCAACATCAATTTTCTTCATCAGTGAAGTTTTTCAATGATTTTAAACCCTCTTGTCAAGATTCCAACCAACAGTTTCTAAAACCTTTAATTTCTGACATTTACCCATATACTACTTTTTTGTTTAAGAGCATGCAATCCTGCCAGTTTTCACATGAACTTTTGTGGCGGCCATCTTGAATTTTGAAAATGGCCGCCATTTCTCATCCGCAAACGGGTCATATTTCAAAATGTAACTGTCTATGATAATGCGACACATAGACTTGATACATGTCAAATGGAAGCTCTTTTTATGTCTTTTCACTTGATACATACGATTCTGTTATATCTCAGTCAAAACGAACTTATAGCTCAAGAACAGTACTGAATTGCGCAATTTGTTAATACATAGGATGAACACTTCATCAGCACCGGAAAGTGTTGCTGCTTACGACGAATTAATAATGAGTACACGTTTCTTTGTTGGATTGCACATATTTGTTTCTAAAGAGACACATATGATTTGAAAAAGTGAGTACCCCAGTTAGTGCCCCAAGACATATTTACTGCCTCTGTTAAAAGTGCCAGAACGTAGCGGGAGTCAGCGCCGGACGGCAGACCCTCAGCACAGGCCATTGGCTACTCGGGGATAATCTTCATCGTCATCACATTCAGTTTCTTTGTCCTGAGTGATTTAATACGCCTCTGTCATTTCTCATCCGCAAACGGGTAATATTTCACTGCCTATGATATTGCGACACATAGACTTAATACATGTCAAATAGATGCTCTTTAGTCATACTCTCACACTCCCCTCCCCCTTGCCACCCTCCCCACTTGTACAAACGTCCTGGGACTAGGAGACACTGACACACACTCCCCTCCCCCTTGCCACCCTCCCCACTTGTACAAACGTCCTGGGACTAGGAGACACTGACACACACTCCCCTCCCCCTTGCCACCCTCCCCACTTGTACAAACGTCCTGGGACTAGGAGACACTGACACACACTCCCCTCCCCCTTGGCACTAAAGGTAATTTTTTTCCCATGTGGACAAAGCACCTGTGCAAAAGTCACATGCATGACCATTGGTTTGAAGTGTTTGAACATCCTTCTTATTCAGCAGTGTCAGTTTTCAACCTCTTCCCAAACATGAAGACACGAATGTGCAAGCATTAAGCAATTGATGATGACGTCATTTCTGCTGTGGAGGACTGTTTGTACCAGTGGGATCCAGGCACTCCATCGTCTGTACCAGTAGGATCCAGGCACTCCATCCCTCTGTACCGGTAGGATCCAGGCACTCCATTGTCTGTACCAGTAGGATCCAGGCACTCCATCCCTCTGTACCAGTAGGATCCAGGCACTCCATCGTCTGTACCAGTAGGATCCAGGCACTCCATCGTCTGTACCAGTAGGATCCAGGCACTCCATTGTCTGTACCAGTAGGATCCAGGCACTCCATCGTCTGTACCAGTAGGATCCAGGCACTCCATCGTCTGTACCAGTAGGATCCAGGCACTCCATCCCTCTGTACCAGTGGGATCCAGGCACTCCATCGTCTGTACCAGTAGGATCCAGGCACTCCATCGTCTGTACCAGTAGGATCCAGGCACTCCATCGTCTGTACCAGTAGGATCCAGGTACTCCATCGTCTGTACCAGTAGGATCCAGGCACTCCATCACTCTGTACCAGTAGGATCCAGGCACTCCATCGTCTGTACCAGTAGGATCCAGGCACTCCATCCCTCTGTACCAGTGGGATCCAGGCACTCCATCGTCTGTACCAGTAGGATCCAGGCACTCCATCCCTCTGTACCATTTGGATCCAGGCACTCCATCGTCTGTACCAGTAGGATCCAGGCACTCCACTCTCTGTACCAGTAGGATCCAGGCACTCCATCGTCTGTACCAGTAGGATCCAGGCACTCCATCGTCTGTACCAGTAGGATCCAGGCCCTCCATCGTCTGTACCAGTAGGATCCAGGCACTCCATCGTCTGTACCAGTAGGATCCAGGCCCTCCATCCTCTGTACCAGTAGGATCCAGGCACTCCATCGTCTGTACCAGTAGGATCCAGGCCCTCCATCGTCTGTACCAGTAGGATCCAGGCACTCCATCGTCTGTACCAGTAGGATCCAGGCACTCCATCCCTCTGTACCAGTAGGATCCAGGCACTCCATCGTCTGTACCAGTAGGATCCAGGCACCCAATCGTCGTTGACACAAGTGTGGATAATGTTGAAAAGTCATAAGCAAATGACAATCAAAGCAATCATCAGTTAGGCTCAGACCTTTTCTGCCACCCCTCGGAAGTCTTAGCGACATATTTAGATTGTATTCGGCCATTTGTTAAATAAACCATGCTATCACCATCTGATGGCTACACATTTCTCCTCACTACATGCCAAATACAGTGTACAGGTTACAAATGGGGCGGGTGAAAATGGATTGGGAATAGTATAAGTTTGTATTTTCTTTTCTTTTCTTGGTATTGAAATACCAGGATGAACCTCCCAAGCTTGATGGTATTATCTCAATGTTATTTTGGGCATGACTCATACAGCATATTTCAATTTAATCTCCACTAAAATTCGGCTTCAAGGTTCAGACATAAGGCGGTCGGGTAGCCTAGTGGTTAAAGCGTTCGCTCGTCACGTTGAAGACCCGGGTTCGATTCCCGACTTGGGCACAATGTGTGAAGCCCATGTCTGGTGTCCCCCGCCGTGATATTGCTGGAACATTGCTAAAAGCAGCGTAAAACCATTCTCACTCACTCACTCACTCAGACATAAAAGTCGGCCTCTTCATGTAAAGATACCAAAGCAGTTTGACAATCTGATGTGTTGAATGCCACTACCTCAGCAGTATTCAGTTATATGGCGGCCTGTTAATAATCAGTCTGGGCCAGACAAGCCAGTGATTGATATCATGAGCAATATGAGTCATACATGCAACCAAGTCACTGTGCCTGACCACGGGGTCCATTTATTACACAGGTTGCTGGGTATCTGTTCTAACCCGGAATCCCCACGGTGGGTTTTCCCCAACACATGCATGGACCTGGTTTCAATTGAACTGAAATCAAAAAGGGGACAGACTCTGAATAATGGAGTTCGGACCAGACAAATGCTCTTGCCTTCGGGTAGGATGACACACAATCAACCAAGACATGAACCTGACCCCCAGATCTCTTCAGTCTCCTCCTACGACCAGTATCAGGGTGCTGGGGACCAATTCTAACCCAGACAGCCCCGCTGGGGGATCCAAGCAGAACAACACCTATAGCTTCCATTCCTTGTATGGGTACAATGTGAGAAGCCCAAGCTGGGAATTTCCAGCAGTGATATTGCTGTAATAATGATATTGAGAAAAGCCAACCTACACTCTTGTCACATGTAACCTGTGATCTCAGTCCATCAGGATAAGGTTGATTCGTCTCATACACTTTCCGTTTTGACATCTGTGGGACTGTGAGGATGCAAGCTTGTACAGACGAAACCTGCATGGGCATCAATGGATCAGTCTGGGACCACATCCAATTGGCCTGGTGAAAACAGCACCACCACTAAACTCCTGATAGGAATAATCAGATATATTTAAATATACACACTACGTTTCATGAGCCCCACTTTCGTGTATCAGTGAAAGATAAATAATCCCTAGCAAAACTGGTGTAGTATATATTGACAACCACGAGGGAGACTTCACAACAAATAAACATTCGCCTGTTACTTTTTTAACATGGACAACTCTCTTTTTTGTATTCTATACATAGCTAAACTGCCATTTCCTGATTTTGAAGCCATACATCTCAGCATTCAAACCGCTAAGGAATGCAAGGTCAGTATATGAGACAGAACCTCATTTTCCTTTCACAAATGAACATAACAACAAAAGCATAAAACCTATGAAAATAATTTATAACACTGTACAAATATATAATGTACATGGATCAACTGATGAATACACAAAAGCAAATAAAATAATGACATTGAAACTTCTTCACAAGTGTAACAGGAAACATATAATTTAATTTTTAGGAGGCTCAATACAGGCCAACTAATGAAAACATGTAAAGGACACTCGTTCTTTAGATGTGCCAATTGGATAATAGCATACATTTCTATCTTGTGAACATCTTATGTCTGTCATTGGTGAGCCTGCAATATAAATAACAATCATCATATGTAATGGCTCATTTAATGAGCTCTCCCACAGAGAGCATACAGGTGCTACATTGCTGCATAAACCTCCAACAATGGACGGAAATGAGGTTACAGTAACAATATCTACATTTTGAACATTGAATGAATGTTTAATTTTCAACAGCAAATCACTTGCACGAACATATTTTTTCTTGTTTTCGGGATAAGTCTGCCTTAAACTTGAATCCATGAAGTACCTGGTGTATTTGCCTGTCAAGGAATTGTTCACTCAACACAGTATTCTGTATTTCTGATACCGCTTGTAGGTTTATGCAAATGCAGAACCATTTGATTTATGCACCAATGTTTTTATCACAACATGATTTAAATACTTGCTCACTGAATGAAAAAAATCAAAGCTGTAATTCTGAAACTAAAATGTGTTACATGATATCTAAAATAATATTGTATTTCTTCAGACATCCACAGGATCTGGCATGAATGTATGTCATCCACTTCTTTACAACAGGACGGATCGGTTTGTAAATTTACATATGAAACATTTGTGACCATCATAATAAAAATGGATTTCAAAGAATCTAAAAAAATAGACAAAAGAATTGAAAAAAATCATATGTGTACAAGTGTGACCATTTCAACATTTTCAATACACACATCAGATCTGAACTGGATCAGAAATTATCTTAACAAATGCCAGTATGTCAATATATGGCACGCATTGCAAATACCAGAGTAATGCAATAAACAGGGGAGATAATCCACTCATCTGATCACACAGTGAAAGACAAGATTGGTGATGGTTTGCTATCATTGTAGAGTCCTGATTGTGCCTGTGGTTGGTAGCAAAGTCTTAGCTCAGTAGAGAATGGCTGATAGTGTCTGTGCAGTGAACAGCAGCCAGTTCACAGGTATTATTCCTAACTGCCAACCAATCACCCTATTGTGAGGTGAGGTGAAATGGGGTTAACGTCGCGTTCAAGATTATTGCACTCATATAGCGATGTTGATGCATGTGTGGTGCGAGTGCATGTCTGCTTATACGAGCCCAGAGTAATACCAGTTGTACGGTACTAGCCCAGTGAGATACTTCCACAGTTTAACATGGATAGCCCACTCAGACAACGACTCTGTTCTTGGAGGAACATCGCCAATCTAGGGGAGAACATTTTAAAAACGAGAATTAAAATAAGTGCATTATACATCATTTGAGAGTTAAAATCCTGGAATTCCAGGAATCCGAGAAAAGTTCTCATGTCTGTCTTGAGCCAACCAGTCCTTGTTTTATCCTGTTAATGCTGAGCGTTAGGCAGGGTACCGTAACAAGTGCCATCTTTTAACAGCTTTTGGTATGAAATGGCCGGGGATCAAATCCCTGACCTGCTCTCTGGGCAAAGCCCTATTATGACAAACTTGGGGTACTTCTGCTCTAGTTAACTTTTCTCATGGAGGCTGAGATTATGCTGTCAAATATCAATTAAAAATAACACAAATCAGATTATTACACGATGGTGCGTGTCATGAAACGTAAATCAGATGTATCTTCCCTATCTTTAGTGAGCTTAGGAAAATCACTTTGACACTCCATCATAAATAATTACTTTCTCATTAACATTTTTACTATGTGGCGGGGAAGCGATGTTTTCTAATTTGAAAACTGAGTTGAGAGCCTTGCTGTGTCATGTGTATAAAAGAGACAGGTGTGAGAACAATAGGCTTGGCTTTGATAAGAACCTGCTTTGGATGTGTCAAAGGTAATAATGTTCATGATATATGGTAAAAAAATAGCGCCAGGATGCTGGAAAATGACCTTGACCCTGTTGCAAGTCTATGTTAAAGTATGGGAGTTACAGCCACCATAGCGCTCAATTGCTTTGTGGAATGGGGCCCTGATGGATATTCAAGGGTCATGTCAATTATTATGTACACACCAAAATCTACTGGATAGGATGTCAAGTGAGAAGCCCTGGCTAGTAAACTGGGATTTCTGAAACGTTACAATGCACACATGTATGTACTGCCTGGACATTGGCCAGTCTCTGACATACAGCTGGAAGTCCCGTCACCCCTCATATCAAGAATCTCTCATCAACCAGTGTCTTCTTGGCCAGGTTCTTCCTGCCCCCGCTGTCTCGAATCAACGCGATCAGCTGCAACAGAGATATTGATTGACATTGATGAAGAAACATTACATCCTAATGACAATCAACTTGCTGTAAATTTACAGCCATGTTGAAACTTTAACGTACTTCGGTAACACTACCGAGTTTAATTCCAATTTCACGTATAATAAATGATGTAAGAGAGTAGCCATTCGTACCTGTGAAATAAGGTAGGTAATGACCCCAGCCAATACAAAGTCGGTGGCGATGAGATCAACGATGCAGAACAGAAGGGTGTCGAAGATGATGAGTGTGTACTCATTGCCAATAAACAGCACCTGGTCAAATGAGTGTCCATTGTCTGAAAAAGAGAATATTAGATATAGTTTATACTGTGATTGTAACACCCAAATGTTCCCAGGTAAAACGTCTTGTCTTACGGGAGCTAAATGAATTGGATGGTCACTCGGAGAACTGGTAGATTGTATGTCATCATACCCAGATGTTATTGGACATTGCTCATAATATCAATCACTGGTTTGTCTGGTCCCCGCTTGTCGTAATATGTGACCAAATGGATCAGGTGGTCTGGCTTGTTGACCTAAAAATACCTGTAACCAATACCCGGTACCTGGTTTGTATGACAGACTCATTATTTACAGGCTGCAATCATATGTAGTTGCAATATTGCTAAACAAAACAATAGATCTACACTCTATACAGTCCCAGTATCTAGAGCAACAAGGTGAGGTGGGGTGGGGTGGGGTGAGGTGAGGTGAGGTGAGATGAGGTGAGGTGAGGTGAGGTGAGGTGAGGTGAGGTGAGGTGAGGTGAGGTGAAATGGCATTTAACGTCGCGTCCAAGATTATTGCACTTATATAGCGACGTGCATGTATGTGTGTGTGTTTGTGTGGCTGCTTGTACTAGTCCAGACTGAAGCCGATTTATAGTGCTAGCTCACTGAGATACCATTCCGCAGTGAAACATGAATATCCCACTCAGACACAGTATACTGACTCCGAGCCGACCAGTCCTTGTTTTAGCCCCTTAATGCCGAGCGCCAGACAGGGTAACAACAAGTACTATCTTTTAACATCTTTTGGTAAGACGCGGCCAGGGATTGAACCCAGGAACATCCGCTCTCCGGGCAGACGCTCTACCACTAGACCACGGAGGCTGTCAACTCTACAGCAACAAACCCACATTATAACTGTTTGGAATGCCTTCATTTCTACAAAAAACGTATTCACTAACAATAATTCGTCTGGAAATATCCTCTAAAGTACTATCCACTTCCATGGTATCTGCCTGTAATCACATTGAAAACGACTACGTCGAAACATACAAAAGTAAAACCATTACAAAAGTTTGTTCAAATTTGAAATTCAGCTAAAACAAATATCACCCCACCTCATAAGTTGATGACATCAAACACATATGGAGGTTTTTATGCAACATGTCATGAAGTATGAGAGAGTGAGTTAGGTGAGTGAGTGAGTGAGTGAGTTGGGTTTAACGCTGCTTTTAACAGTATTCCAGTTATATCACGGCGTGTCAGCTTAATGTGGGAGGAAAGCCGGAAGTGATGCAGGTCTCAGACGTTTACCACTTCGGTGAAACCCACGAGCACGGGTATGGTGCTGACAAACCTAGAAACATAATCGGGGCGAACCGGGATTCGAACCCACAATCATAGGTTTCTGGCGTGCCTAAGGGATGCAACTCTGCACAGCGAATCGCGGCGCCTTAGACGACTGGGCCACCCATGCCCCCGAGTGAGTTAGGTATTACACCATAGTGAACAGTATATTCACTACATCATCAAGCAGTGGCACCTTATACCCAAGTCTAGTAGATTGACTCAGGACCACTGGAATTGATTTACATGGTGGTCCAATGGTCACTGATTAGACACAAAAATCTGTTGCAAACTCTAAGCACAAACAACATATTCAGGGCTCAGTTATCCAGGGTATAAAATGTCCATTCTACTATGATACATATCCAGGAACATTTGTTACCATAACTACGTTCAGAAAAACACCAGAAATATCCAATTAAATTACACTCATGAGCGGGCGAAATTCTGAGCAATGTTAGAAACACAACAGATGGAGTCAGGAGATGATGAGGTCATTTATAAAACAAAGCTATTGTGAATGGGTCCAGGGTACTTATGAGAGAATGGACATATCATACACTGGATAACCGAGGACGGTTTAACCCCAGATCATGAAGGAAATACCATTGTAGAGTATGCCCTTGTCTTGCACATCAAAGAACTCGGTGTCCATCACACTCTCCAGCAGTGTCTTGTCCTTCACCACGTAGTCCAGGTCTCGCAGGGACTGAAACCACAAGCAAACATCTTAAAGGGGGTCTTGCTCCTGCAATGTCACAGTCCCAGCCAATTTAATTCAAGTTGTTCCATCACCATCAGAATACAGAGAGTAGCATAGACAATGTATTAGTGCTACACAGGGAACTATTTACATCTAGAATTAAATATTGACATGGACGGACTTGATTCATAGTTCCTGTTTTATCAGGTTCCAAGTTCATTAGTGTATCATTTGTAAACAGTTAAATAACAAACAATGATTTAAATCATATGTAGGGATACAAAGAGTGCATTTCACAAATTGTAGAAGGGGGCATAGAACAATATCCTTGTGACTACTGAATACACCAGTCATTGACCGGTATCATATACCGTATTCGACGTAATAAGCGCCCACGGCGATATATACTAATATATTGGCTAGAGAACAATCCCAATTAGCACCCCTTCCGATTGATCAATGTACACAAGACTTATATTTTCATGTATGATAAGCACCCTTAATTATGTCCCATTAAATTCTGGAAAATATATCTATCGTGTATTATACGCACAGATTCTTCTTTATATCATTTCAGGCTGTCAGCATAAACCACAAAATTTACAATCTTTCAACTCTGTTTTTTATCTCACCAAAATTATATTCTATAAGAGCCCCTTATTTCTAATTTTGAGAGCGCCCTGGGCACTTATTACGTAGAATACGGTAGTTGGAGTAGTGCTGAGGGTGGCATGTAACAAACAAACAAACAAACACCAGTCCTTGATCTACTCAACCCCTCACTCTGCCTGTACTCACATGGTCAATGAAGGCCTGCAGGAACTTGTTCAGCATGGTGTAGGCCTCGACACTCTTGTCTGTGACCTTGCTCTTGTTCCCCGCCTCTCGATTCCCTGCCATGGCCGTCTTCAATGCAACAGTAAACATTAAGAGCTGTGGTCTGAACAAACTAGGGAGGATTTGACACTGTGTTATGCAATATTCCAGTCATATCATAGCAGTGGATGCCAACAATAGGCATCCACAGCGTACCATGTGAAGAAACAAACCCAGGACTTGATGCACTCAATTCATGTGTTCTGCTTGAAAATCAAATGAAAGAATGGGAATTCTTCCTGAGAACCTTTATTATGGTTATCCTTAAGAGACGGCTAACTATAACTAGCTCATCAGGAGACTCCAGTGTATAACACAAGTATGGCATGTCTTACATCAGGAGACTCCAGTGTATAACACTAATATGGCATGTCTTACATCAGGAGACTCCAGTGTATAACACTAATATGGCATATCTTACATCAGGAGACTCCAGTGTATAACACTAATATGGCATATCTTACATCAGGAGACTCCAGTGTATAACACTAATATGGCATATCTTACATCGGGAGACTCCAGTGTATAACACTAATATGGCATATCTTACATCAGGAGACTCCAGTGTATAACACTAATATGGCATGTCTTACATCAGGAGACTCCAGTGTATAACACAAGTATGGCATGTCTTACATCAGGAGACTCCAGTGTATAACACTAATATGGCATATCTTACATCAGGAGACTCCAGTGTATAACACAAGTATGGCATGTCTTACATCAGGAGACTCCAGTGTATAACACTAATATGGCATATCTTACATCGGGAGACTCCAGTGTATAACACTAATATGGCATATCTTACATCGGGAGACTCCAGTGTATAACACTAATATGGCATATCTTACATCGGGAGACTCCAGTGTATAACACTAATATGGCATATCTTACATCGGGAGACTCCAGTGTATAACACTAATATGGCATATCTTACATCGGGAGACTCCAGTGTATAACACAAGTATGGCGTGTCTTACATCAGGAGACTCCAGTGTATAACACAAGTATGGCATATCTTACATCAGGAGACTCCAGTGTATAACACTAATATGGCATATCTTACATCGGGAGACTCCAGTGTATAACACTAATATGGCATATCTTACATCGGGAGACTCCAGTGTATAACACAAGTATGGCGTGTCTTACATCAGGAGACTCCAGTGTATAACACAAGTATGGAATATCTTACATCTAGAGCTGCAGGGAGGTAGACCTGGTCGTACTTGTCCCGAAGTCTGCTTGGCAGGGTCATCTGGAATGTCTGCTGTTCCGTGTTTGGCATCAGCCCACGTTGACCACACATGTCTTGCTACAACAGAGAACAGAGCAACATTAAACACATATCTCACTGTAACACAGAACGCAGCCACATTAAACACGCACTTCCTGCGGCAACACAGAACACAGCAACATTAAACACACACTTCCTGCGGCAACACAGAACACAGCCACATTAAACACACATGTCCTGTGGCAACACAGAACACAGCCACATTAAACACACACGTCCTGCGGCAACACAGAACACAGCCACATTAAACACACATGTCCTGCGGCAACACAGAACACAGCCACATTAAACACACACGTCCTGCTGCAACACAGAACACAGCCACATTAAACACACATGTCCTGCTGCAACACAGAACACAGCAACATTAAACACACACGTCCTGCTGCAACACAGAACACAGCCACATTAAACACACATGTCCTGCGGCAACACAGAACACAGCCACATTAAACACACATGTCCTGCTGCAACACAGAACACAGCCACATTAAACACACATGTCCTGCTGCAACACAGAACACAGCCACATTAAACACACATGTCCTGCTGCAACATAGAACACAGCCACATTAAACACACATGTCCTGCTGCAACACAGAACACAGCCACATTAAACACACACGTCCTGCTGCAACACAGAACACAGCCACATTAAAGGGCAAGTTCACACGGAAATGAACCTATATTTCTTGTACTTTTTCCACATTAAAAGTGTTAACCTAGAAGTGTCATAGACAAAAATATAAAAATATCACAATTAATCAACATAATTTTCGCATTAAAGCTATTTATATTTTTCACATTTACCAAGTGTTCTATTTCCATAACAAAAACACCATGGCTTATGCCCCTTGCAATATGACGTCATTGGTGCCAATTGATAAACATTATGACGTCATCATGCTTTGTTAGAGCCGCTTCACGTGGTGTAGGTACAGTTGTGTGATTCTTGCGTCTCAGATGCCAGCTAGCATAGTGTTATGCTGAGTCACCACTGCGCCGGAGTGTGTCGTAGGCCATGTTGTTTTACCGCAAACTGGTACTTGATATCTTTTGCGTTGAGAATAGACAGGGACCCAGTTGAATTGGCACCAATTACGTCATAATCTAAGGGGGATAACTCAGGCCTGTTTAGCTCGAAAAACGAAGGCCTCATAACGGCATATCATTTTCACACTATTGTGAGCTTCCTACTTTCACTGTGAAAAAATGAGTGTATATTTTCAAACACAGATACTAACTAATTCTAAACTTGCGTTTTGTTTAGAAAAAGAAAGAAAGTAACTTTTGCGTGTACACTTCCCCTTTAAACACACACCTCCTGCAGCAACACAGAACACAGCCACATTAAACACACATGTCCTGCTGCAACACAGAACACAGCCACATTAAACACACACCTCCTGCTGCAACACAGAACACAGCCACATTAAACACACACGTCCTGCTGCAACACAGAACAATCTTACAACAGAAACTGACTTCACACATTTGGGGAATTGAACTCGGGGCTTCGGCATGACAATCAAATGCTTTAACCACAAGGCTACCCAACTGCCCACCAAATGCTGTCTTGAGGATGTCCTTACCTCCTCTCGCTTCATCATCTGGTGCATCTCCTTCATGTCCGTGTCTGCCTTGCCGTGTACTGACCTCCCGTGGATGTAGTAGCCATAGGCAGCGTTAGCCATGATGAACACACTCACGTTGCTCATGGAACACAAGTCCACAAACTGGCGCACTCGATCCTCGATGAACCTCTCATAGATGAACACGTAGAAGATCCATTGAGTTATGCCTGAAAGGGAATGATAACAAATAATGCTTTGTATGTAATGTTTCCATTAAAGACAGTTTGGCTGTCCGTCAATAATCAAGTCTGTACAAGACAAGCAACCAACTGACATCATGAGATTCGATCTATGCAATTGGGATACAATAACATGTATTAACAAAGTCAGCGACCCTGACCACCTGATCCGGTTAGTCACCTCTTATGACAAGCATAGGTTGCTGAAAACCAATACTGAGCCGGATCTTCGCTGGCTAACCACAACTAACGTCATGCCAAATAACATGTGCTCCTCATTTTGAAATGATACACAAAATCATGATAAACATATTGTGGAAACTGCGCATCGCTGAATCGTTTAACCCCTAAAACAGCCACATGCCCGAAATCCTATATACAGCAAGACACTCACCAACCAAGAGGTAGACAAGTACAGCCACAGCGTATCTATAGACATAGGACTGTTGACTTTGGTAATCTGCAGCATTCTTCAACACACTCCCATCCGGGTCCATGGTAGCCACATTTTCGAACCCAACCACTTTCAGGAAGAACACAACAGCAAACACCTGAAACACAGGGCTAATTTTTCTGGTGGCCTGTATTTCATTCCATTCATTGGCCACAAAATATGTTCGCCAGATTGACACAGGAGTTCCTCCAGATTTCCGACCATCGTTAGATGTTTCCTGGACGCCCTTTGGTCGCTCCCAGTCTATGAGGAAAATGTCTGTGGTACACTGTAAAACCATCATGTGGATGATGCTAAGGGTCTTCAGGGCAAAGGATGACCCGAACAGGGCAAGCCAGTCTTCCAGGGCTTGACCTGTAGGGTGGACCAGGTATACCGCATTCTGTCTCTGAAACAAAACACTTTCATAGTGTAGACCTTCCAAGACAGGATTTTAGAGCTGTGGTTTCAAGGCACTGCTCACAATCGAAGACAGTATTCTCCCGGTACCGTCTACAGTACAACACTTGGTACTAGCAAGAGTCAAGAACTGTGGTTCCAAGGCATTGCTCACGACAGTTGTTTTATTCATGATGACAAAAACAAAAATTCTGACATACTGTTTGGAGAAGAGTGAGTGAGTGAGTGAGTGAGTGAGTGAGTGAGTATGGTTTTACGCCGCTTTTAGCAATATTCCAGCAAAATCATGGCGGGGGACACCAGACATGGGCTTCACACATTGTACCCATGTCGGGAATCGAACCTGGGTCTTTGGCGTGACGAGCGAACGCTATAACCACTAGGCTACCCGACTGCCCCTGTTTGGAGAAGAACACACCCAACCATAAATTCAGTCACTGCAGTTAAGAGTGAGTGAGTGAGTAAGTGAGAGAATGCTACAGGCTGAGATACCCAAACTATGCAAGGCAGCCTATCAATAATAGAGTGAGTGAGTGAGTGAGTATGGTTTTACGCCGCTTTTAGCAATATTCCAGCAATATCACGGCGGGGGACACCAGAAATGGCATTGTACCCATGTCGGGAATCGAACCCGGGTGACGAGCGAACGCTTTAACCACTAGGCTACCCGACCGCCCCTCTCAATAATAGAACATAGGCAGGCAAACCATTAGACCACACATTATTTATTTTTCGTTTCTTGGGCCTGCCCCTACTGAATAGCAGCTGGAAAAAAACCAAATTAAACATAAAACAATATATTTTTATTATGTCTCCCTCTTGTAGTATTGACCCTCTTATACAAAATGAAATGTTATATATACCGTATTCAACATAATAAGCGCCCCGGGCGCTCTCACAATTAGAAATAGGGGGCGCTTATTAGAATATTATTTTGAGTTGAAAGATCGTAAATTTCGTGGTTTATGCTAACAACCTGAAACGACAGATATATTTTTAAAGAATTTTATTGCCCATAATTAAGGGTGCTATAACACACGAGTGCGTATTATACACGAATAAAAAGTCTTGTGTACATTGATCAATCGGAAGGGGTGCTGATTGGGATTGTTTACTAGCCAATATATTAGGAAATATCGCCGTGGGCGCTTATTGGAGCGGGGCGCTTATTACGTCGAATACGGTAAGTTCCATGTCTCCATCACTATCAGTGATTCAAGAGGCAAGCTGCAGTTTAACTTCATGGCAGAATGACTTTCATATAATTAATGAAATGATTGACATAGCTATATATTTTTATTATTATTTCGACCGACCTTGTGTGGAAAAGCTGGAATAAATCCGTGAAACATAAAATTAAAAAAGTGTGGTTTTAGTGGATAGCATTCAGAACAATCAGTCCGATGCCACACAGCCAAGTGACACAAAGCAATGTCAATTCTATTTTCCACACAACCTTCCAGGAGTGAGTGAGACCCTGTTATGTTTGAATAATGACAGCCTGGCAGTTTCAAACACATACCTTGTAGAAGATGAGCCAGTAGAAGGAAATCCCGAAGGTGATGATGAAGAAAATGTTGGCCAGAGAGCCAGCCAGGTAGAAGATGAAGTTGAGGATGGTGGGGAAGTCAATGGCTGCTCTGCGTCCCCGTTTGGACCACACCCATGTCCTGTAGCCAGCATACAACACTGCCAATGTGCCCAGTGTGCCAGTTGTGATCTGGAAGTCTCGGGTGTACTTCCCCTGATCCATAGAGTAGGTGACGCTGAATGACACCTGAAAAAACATTAACATGTGGGATATTGATTTATTGAATTAGTTTGCTGTTTAATTCCGCACTCATCAATATTCCAGCTACCCCGGTATATGACGGCTTTCTGTATATAATCGAGTCTGGACCAGACAATCCAGTGATTCATGAGTACAATCCACGCACATGGGATACAATGACATGCATAAACCAAGTCAGTGAGCCTGACCACCCGATCCCGTTAGTCGCCTCTAACGACAGGCATAGTCACCTTTGATGGCAAGCGTGGATTGCTGAAGACCTGTTCCACCCCGGATCTTCACGGGTAACATATAGGCATAAAACAGTCTGTGACTGTAGCTCCTAGTCTGAAGCCCAAGTCTAGTAAAATTCTGTTCAGTCTAGTAAGCTTAGTGGATAATAGTCTGTCCATACAACGACACTAAATTCTTCTGAGGCTAAGAGTGTAGTTTTGGCAAGCAGTTTAAAAATTTAATGCACAGTCTGTTAATAATGTCTCCATTATCCTCAAGCTGAATCAATCCTAAACACTCAAGCATAACAACCACATATTACAGCTTTTGGGAGCTGCATGTTTTACTGCAGTAACTCCACTTCCATTAATTATTGACTTTAGCTATAAGACACTGTCTGTGAATCGGAAATGTTTACAATTTGAAACTGCTATATATTTAATCCTTAAACTTATGGATAAACATGAAGCTCATCACTTGAGGGTTTACAAAGTTATTTATGTAATTTCACAAATACAAATGATGGATAAATGTGAATAATTTTGTTCAATGCTGTGTAACAAGTCTCATTTATGGTCAGATACTGTATTGGAAGTTCTTCATTCAAATTATATCAAAATATTTGCGAAATTATATTGGAGGCTGTACCTTGAGTGGGGGAAATTGAAACAGGCTTGTCGCAAGTTGTCAGTTGATTCAAAATTTTCTTGGTTCTTGGTTTTGTTCACCAGTACAGTATTAGTAATGTGAATTTATTTTCCGATATCGCCGATCGTCATGAAAGTGGTAAGCAGGGGAGACAATAGAGAACCATTCCACTCAGGAATTCCCCATGTAAACGTCATAAGGTGAAGTTTATACTTTGTAAACGCCACTTTTTGAAGTTTGTTGAAAAATGAACAAGGCATAGGTGGGTCATGGGTGGGTCATGGGTGGGTCATGGGTGGGGCAAGGGTGGAGCAAGGGTGGGGCATGGGTGGCCCAGAGCTGCATTTCGCTGTGCTGAGTTGCGTCTGTTGGGCACGCCAGAAACCAATAGTCATTGTTTTGAATTCTGGTTCGCTCCGCTTATGTTTCTAGGTTTGTCAGCACTATACTCATGCTCGTGGGTTTCACCGAAGTGGTAAACGTCTGAGACCTGCGTCACTTCCGGCTTTCCTCCCACATTAAGCTGACAAGCCGTGATATAACTCGGATACTGTTAAAAGCAGTTCAACTCACTCACTCAATCACAATGAGATGAACTGATTGATTCAATTATGTCATAGTAATCATTGGATAGTTATGGATACACACCGAAACCTTCTGTCCACCCTGTGCCGCCTCCCTCGACACCTCGCCGTACGTTATCTTGAAGTATGGAGGGTTGATCAGGCCAGTATTCGTTCCGGACTGCAGGCTCAGCACCAGCTGGATTGACTGCGCATATCGCACATAGGTTGCATTCGGTGCAGTCTGCACATCTGGAACAACACCATGCTGCGTCAACATCCTTCTCAGTTATCCAGTGTCTCATATCTCCATTCTATTGCCACCCAAGCTTTGCCTTGGAATTGATAAAAGACACAGACCAATTGGCTGATGTAAAACTATTGTTTTCCATCCACAGTTTTCAAACCATGACTTCAAGTCATTCAATGTCCTTAAATTGTAATTTAGCTTCTGTAACACAGACCTCCAAAGGCTTGAGAAAGCAGTGTCCGACATAACTGCCTGCACACTGCCCGTGCCTGGTAACTTTTCCGTTGGGCTGCATGAATTTTCCCTCTACCTGCCCGACTGACAGGCAGATAATTTTAAGCCAACTTACGTATTCAGATTTATGATAACTCCTTGTACATTCCCAAGTAATTGCTAGCATTATTTCAACTGAATCAAGGCATGATTTTTTCGCGATGTTTCAATATTTATTATGTCTGAATGCGGGCAGGTAACTTTGAAGATGGGCAAGCAAAATCTTTGGGTCACCTGCCGGAATGTCTTGTTGGGTTTTATAATTATTTCAATGAAAGACTTGAAAACTACCTGGTGATGTGGAGGTTGTGATTGTAGCCTCATTGTCAACCAAGAAGAACCTTCGAGTCAGCTGCCAGTTAGCTACGCCGCCTGCAAGACAACAAAATTCACGAAATACACCAAACAGGCATAAATGTTTATGATAGTGTTTCTCAAATCAAATATGCCAAAAAGTTATTTGTATAATTGAGCACAATACTGAAGTAAATGTCTTTAGACAATGCTTATCTCAAATATGCTCTTGTTCTGTTGTTCCAATAAAATGTTACATTTCGAGTTATAATAATGAGCATTTTAGAGTACAGAAAATTGACCCATCAGAGGAAGGAGTTTGGTTTAACGCTGCTCAACACATTATTTCAGTTCAAGTCAGCATGATGTGGCATGATGTGGAAGGGAAGCTTAAGGTGACACAGTTCATAGAGACTAACCAATTCGGCAAAGTCAACAAGCATGGGTTTGGTGCTGACAGACCAAGAGTCATAGAAGGTTGGTTGGTTGGTTGTTCAACGCCGCAATCAGCAATATTCCAGCTATATGACGGAGGTCTGTAAATAATCGAGTCTGGACCAGACAATCCAGTGATTAATATCATGAGCATCGATCCATGCAATTGGGATCGATGACATGCATCAACCAAGTCTGCGAGCCTGACCACCCGATCCCGTTAGTCACCTCTTACGACAAGCATAGTCACCTTTTACGGCAACATGGGTTGCTGAAGACCTATTCTACCCCGGAATCTTCACGGGTCCTAGAAGGAGCAAATCTAGGATTTGAACCCACAATTAGGGGTGGAATGATACAGCAAGGTCACGATACGATTCATATCACAATACACATATTTACGTCAAATTGCATGGAAACTTCTTGACTATAAATATTTCGCAGCATGTTCTAAAGGAAAAACTAGCTGTAGACACATGTTTGTAGCTGCTATTTTTAGTAGTGAACTTTGAATGCTAATTACAACATATTTTGTAATATTTGACTGACAAAATTGCTAGGGGTCATTAAACGAGTAGTATAAGTAAGTAATATATATATATTAGCAAGTGTATCATCTTGTATCAAGACAGAAGAAAAAGTATTGTGTAACGTATCGTTGCATGAAAACATACGATGCACCCGTGCACCAACATACCCACTGTCATCAGAGTGAGTGAGTAGATGAGTGAGTGAGTGAGTGAGTATGGTTTTACGCCGCTTTAAGCAATATTCCAGCAACATCACGGCGGGGGACACCAGAAATGGGCTTCACACATTGTACTCATGTCGGGAATCGAACCCAGGTCTTCGGCGTGACGAGTGAAAGCTTTAACCACTAGGCTACCTGACCAACCCTATATCCTAGAGAAGAATGCAACGTACCATCATTGGGTCTGCGGCTGGAGACGTCCCTGTAGTTGCTGATGAGCAGTGGAATCTGGTACAGTCGACGCTCGGTAGCATCTGTGTAGTCCAGGTCTGAGACATGGGTCAAGGTCACACAACTTTCTTAACTCCCAACTCGATGCTTGACAAACACTACCGACTCACAAACAAGTCAGCGAGTGAATGTTGTTTCACTTCAGTCAGTAACATTCCAGATATACCACAACCTCCTGTACATAATTAGGCAAAACCCAGTGGTTGATCTCATGGGAACGATCAGTGCTACTGGGGCACAATGATACACAAGTCACGTTCTAGGAATATTTGACCCACTTTAGTCTCCAAGACAAGCTTGGGGTCCAAGAGATCTATTTGGCACCCAAATCCAAGTCAATACAATCAATAAACAGTCTTTCAAAATAGACAGGAAATTGATCTAATGTTAAAAAATAGATTTAGGAGAACCTTTGATTCTACAGGAACAACTCCAAAACCTCAAGACTCCACTTAATTGTGACAAAGGATCAGTATCAGACAAGGTGAAAATCTATTCATGCCATCAGGTTGATGATTTAGGCACTGATGGCACCATGTGTCAATAATCAATTCTGTTATCAATGAGTGAGTGAGTGAGTGAGTTGGGTTTAACGCCGCTTTTAACAGTATTCCAGTTATATCACGGTGTGTCAGCTTAATGTGGGAGGAAAGCCCCAAGTGATGCAGGTGTCAGACGTTTACCACTTTGGTGAAACCCACGAGCACGGGTTTGGTGCTGACAAACCTAGAAACCGGGATTCGAACCCACAATCATAGGTTTCTGGCGTGCCCAAGGGACGCAACTCTGCACAGCGAATCGCGGCGCCTTAGACAACTGGGCCACCCGTGCCCCCCCTGTTATCAATGATATATGACATAAATATTGCATAGCAGTGATCAATACAAGATCAATATCAGCTATCAATATCGGCTTTATTGGAATATCCATTTGAACACACACTGCACAGGTAGTGTTCTAGTCGGGAAACAGGCAGGCAAAAGGATACAAATATCAAAGAACTCCAGAGGGTATTTGTTCTGATTCCAGAAACTCGCGGCGCTGATGGAACACTGTCAACACATGATCATATTCATTATCATCTGAAAGAGCTTTGCTTTAAAGTAATTGGACAATGCTTTATTTAGAAACGGGTCATAATCTGCAGACCCTTAAAAATAAAATCAGAAAGCACTGCAAACTACCACACAAATAATGTGTATTCCATGGTAAATTACAACATCATCCAAACAGGCTCCCACGACCCTGCTAAGATGTACAACTTATGCAGAACACATAGAAATATTTAAACAAGGAAATATAAAATGAGCACACATATTTGCTAAGAATATGTCACGTTTACTCTAGTGAGCATGGTTTTGCACCACTTTTAGCAATATTCCAGCAAATTCACGGCGGGGTACACCATAAATGTGCTTCACACATTGTACCCCTGTGGGGAATCAAAAATGTTTACTGTAGAGTTTAAGAGAAATAATGTGGTTCAGAATTATATATTGAATGATCATGTAAGAATTGAATATTGAATTCCAATATTTTAACTCCAGAGTCCATTGGCCCTGTCTAGCCAAGTTTCTGAATGACGAGAAGAATGAATGGTGGTCCACGGTCAGTTGGTATTTTGTTAATGGTGTTGTCTGTTCTCATCAGAAATTGAAATGTGGCACAAAAGTTAAGGTCACATGTATGAATATTTGACAGATATTTATTGACTAAATTGTAAATGAGAATGAAGGAATATTAACTATCTGTACCAAAACTTTCTGATCAGGACCACTAGAGATCCATCAGGACCACTAGAGATCCAACAGGACCACAAGAGATCCATCAGGACCACTAGAGATCCAACAGGACCAGTAGAGATCCATCAGGACCAGTAGAGATCCATCAAGTCAAGGTAAAACCCTGAGTGAACATTTTGTAAGTCAAGGTAAAACCCTGAGTGAACATTTCGTAAGTCAAGGTAAAACCCTGAATGAACATTTTGTAAGTCAAGGTAAAACCCTGAGTGAACATTTTGTAAGTCAAGGTAAAACCCTGAGTGAACATTTTGTAAGTCAAGGTAAAACCCTGAGTGAACATTTCGTAAGTCAAGGTAAAACCCTGAATGAACATTTTGTAAGACAAGTTGTTTGCCCCCAAATCTGGTTATGTTACATAAACCACAAGTGTGAGATGAACTGAGTGAGTGAGTGAGTGAGTGAGTGAGTGAGTGAGTGAGTGAGTGAGTGGTTTTAAGCCGCTTTTAGCAATATTCCAGCAATATCACGGCGGGGGACACCAGAAATGGGCTTCACACTTTGTACCCATGTCGGAGAGATGAACTGAGGACCAATGTAACCCTGTATTTTATGACCTTGCATTGCCTCATTTTCAGTTGATCAATTTACTCCTTTCTACTCACAGAAGAAGAATAGACTGTTCCAAATACAAAAGCTGCATTAAGTCGAGTCTCTGTGTCTTCACAAAGCTGTATGAGTCCTCCTGTGATATCTTCCATACCAAGGAACGTTCCTCCTAGACTGTATCTCGCGACCTTGAACTTTATAGTCATGGGCGGGTCAAATGAGTAGGATGTGGTGATGTCATTGTTGTTGAGGAGGTCTTCGGCATCATCGCTATAATACAACGTCGGCACAACTGGATTGGGCCTGACATAGAAGAAGGGAGCGTTAGCAAGTTAATTCATGGATTTATGTTCAGCAATACACCAGGAACGCAGCTGCCTGAAAGTGGTGGAAATTTGAAATGTCAACATAATCTATCAAAAACATACACTCTACATACCAGTGGGTTAATCTTGTTGATACAGCTGAAGATATGGGAGAAATAGTGCAATAAATACTATGTGGTATTACTGGCATATCTGTAAACTGAGGTTCATTCTTTCCATGACACGTATCACAATATCAGTTTGTAATGCTCGGCACATTGGGTGATTTCAAATAGAGATATTAATCATGTGTTTAATGTTATACAGTTGCCAAATACCTTTGAAATGTTTCCATAAATTAATTCCACAATGCAAGTTCCCGAAGCGAGAGGTTAATTCTCAGTTACCTCTCTCATGTGCACTTGGATCAATTCATACACTTCTATAAGCAACACCCAGGGCACTCTTCTACCCTGAGTTCTTTCAGCAAGCTAAGTACCCCTGCCAAGGGCCAGCTAAGTACCCCTGCCAAGGGCCAGCTAAGTACCTCTGCCAAGGGCCAGCTAAGTACCCCTGCCAAGGGCCAGCTAAGTACCCCTGCCAAGGGCCAGCTAAGTACCTCTGCCAAGGGCCAGCTAAGTACCTCTGCCAAGGGCCAGCTAAGTACCCCTGCCAAGGGCCAGCTAAGTACCTCTGCCAAGGGCCAGCTAACATCTTACACAGTCCATTCAACAAGTCACATGTGTTTTACATCTGTTTCATTTTTAAAAAGTCTACACATTTAGATCAACACGTCATGCATTGGTTTCATTGAGAAAATATCCTAAAATGTGAAAAACTATTTCCATTTGTGTGGTTATTATTTAGTTCTTATTTGGTTTACGGCACAACGTCCTGTCATCGAAGCCCTGTGTGGAACCAGTGCTATGGTCACTTTGATGTATAAAGTCATACTGTCATGCTCCTAACTGTTGCAGTGATGTAGAATGCTGAACAAGCCTTGGGTATAATACCAATTCTATGAAAGGAGTGAATACCTCTGGTATCTGATGAGCACTCACAAGTTTAATAAAAATTGTACTATACGGGAGCATGTTTAGTATTTTATTTTTTACTTGGCTCTGATTTCATTTTTGTTGTTGTTTTGTTTGTTGTTTGACGCCACTCTCAGCAATATTCCAGCTTTATCAAGGCGGTCTGTAAAAAATTGAGTCTAAGATAGTCCAGATAATCCAGTGAGTGACATCATGAGCATCAATCCACGCAATCAAGATATGATGGCATGCAGCAACCAAGTCAGCGAACCTGACCACCCGATCCCTTTAGTCACCTCTAGTACGGCAAGCATGGGTTGCTGAAGACATATTCTACCCCGGATCTTCACGGGTCGCTCCAATTTCATAATAAGTGTTTTGTTTACAAACAAGAGTAAAGTTTAGTCATGTGATATGGAAATTAGCCTGTGGCAATGGTGTAATGCTAAGTCATCACTGCCCCAAAGCGTACATCCTGGGCGTGCGTCAGGGGCTCCAAGAAGGCTGTGTATTTATTGAAGGAGTAAACATCATAATGTACCAGCGTCTTGTTTTGTTCTATTGATGAACTTCAATCTATACCTTGATGTTTCAGATTGCTCCTGAATTCAAAATTTATAGTTATACAATATATTGTGATAGATATTGCAAGACAGTCGTGTATCCAAAAATATTGTGACTCGCTTTAAAACACCAATACCCATTCCTAATAAATACTGAGATTGTCCATCCCAGCTGTTAGGGTACAAAGGTGATGGTCACAGATGACACTGGTCATTCAGTATGGCTAGCCATACAGTCCATTTCAGGTGACCACTTGATTACCTTTTTCTTCATAGTATGGAAGCACTAAGCTTTGACTCGGTCTCACGGAATAATCTAAAAATGTCTGTTGTACACTATTTCACTATTTCTAAGACATTTCCAAAATCCTATTACAGTCGAGTCTTGTTAAGTGTCTGAACCCAAAGTATCCATTCCCTGAAACAGGCTGCCCCAAACAACTTTATGACAAAACTAAATAAACATTGAGCCAATCAAATTTATTCCTATTTGACCTGCCAAAACTTAGTGCTTAGCAAAAATTCTTTAAACCACAAAACCAAACATCAGGGGATGCAGCAAAATGTACCTAGTTACCAACAGTTTCCACATAATCAGTTCTAGCTATCAATGTCTATGGTACTTCCTTTTTTTTATCCGCTAAATTTATGCTAGTCTGTTAGCTTGATACCACTAAATTGTGCTGAGGACTAGTAAAATCCACGATGGTAGTCCTCATGGAATACCCGATAATGCATTTGATGGCCATAATTCTGAACCAGTTCTCAATGCTTCAAGTTTTCTTCAAATTGAAACTGAATAAAATTAACTGAAAATGAAAACATAGAAAATATTTTTTTGTCTTGTTCAAGCAGAACTAACTACAAACTGAGAATGCATGATGTTTACAGTAGTTCTCTGGATGTCTGGGGGCACGGGTGGCCCAGTCGTCTAAGGCGCCGCGATTCACTGTGCAGAGTTGTGTCCCTTGGGCACGCCAGAAACCTATGATTGTGGGTTCGAATCCAGGTTGCCCCGATTATGTTTCTGGGTTTGTCAGCACCATACCCGTGCTCATGGGTTTCACCGAAGTGGTAAACATCTGAGGCCTGCATCACTTCGGGCTTTCCTCCCACATTAAGCTGACACACCGTGATATAACTGGAATACTGTTAAAAGCGGCGTTAAACCCAACTCACTCACTCTCTGGGTGTCTAAGAGAGGCTGTATACCTTATTGTGAGTTATACCACGGCTGATGCATGGACGATCTGTATTTCCAAAACATACTAAGCTCTCAAGAGTTCACTCACGTTGGTATTTTCTCTAAGATGGTACAGGCTTGTTCACTTCCTGTCCGAGACGATCCACGATCATACAGCAGGAGCACGCACATGTTGGCTAGCTGCTGACATGCCGTCATGTTGGAATAGGCCTGAAAGGAAAATAACACACTGTTTAGTCTAAATATAGAAGATCAGACTTCTTTCTTTGACCCACTCGGAATGTGGTAATTAAATCTCTTATCCAACATCAATCCTTTGAACTGCTCTCTATCTGAGATAAACGCATACAGTATTATTTTAAACTTGTGTAATCTTGGACTGTACTTTAAGGACAGTGAAATTCTTGTAATTAGGACAGTTTGTCTTCTTGAAAAATGTCCCAAAATGTCTGGATCAACAAATTATCATAACAGAATAATGCAGTCTGCGACTTTAGCCAGCAGTCCGAAGCCTGAGTGGAATAAAATTTTATTCACTCTACTAAGCTATACTAGTAATAATCCATATAACATTCACTTCTACAGAAAATTATGCTAAAAGCCATGTTTAGGCTAGAAGTTTCAAAAGTCTTTGGCACAGACTTTGCACATTGATGTCAGAAAACATTCTTACTTGACAAAGAACTGTAACAGCTCTCAGGTTTTCCTCAAAATACTTGGACTTGACAGTGCCACCAGCCTGAATCAGTAATAACATCAATGTGGGATGAAAGACAACATTGCTTTGTATTTCAACAATATGATTTGTTAGCTTGATGTGGACCCAAAGCCAAAGCTGCTGCAAACCACCCTAAATTGCAGTACTGTAAGTAGTTTGTGTTACGATCCTCTGGTATAGTTGGTCTGCTAAATTAACTTTTTTGATGTTTGTTTGTTTGTTGTTTATATGCCGCACTCAGCAATATTCCAGCTTTATGACGGCGGTCTGTTAATAATCGAGTCTGGACTAGACAATCCAGTGATTGACATAATGAGCATCGATCCATGCAATTGGGATACAATGACATTCATTTAACAAGTCAGCAAGCCTGACCACCCGATCCCGTTAGTCGCCTCTTACGACAAGCATTGTCGGCTTTTAAATCAAGCATGGGTTGCTGAAGACCTATTCTTCCCCGGATCTTCATGGGTCACATGCATTTTGAGAGAATCCGTTGACTGATGTCATGAGCATCGATCCATGCACATGGGATACGATGACATGCATCAAACCAAGACAGCGAGCCTGACCACCCGATCCCCTTAGTCGCCTCTTACGACAAGCATAGTCGCCTTTTAATTTAAGGCAAGCATGGGTTGCTGATCATGGCTTTGTAGATTGAGTAAGTGTGACTTGTACGGCAAGCATGAGTTGCTGAAGACCTATTCTACCCCGGATCTTCCCTGGTCTCATTGGTTGGAGCAAGCGTGTGGAGCTTCAGCTTCATTGATTCAGTGGCTTCTAAGGAGGATGTGTTTGGCAGCCAAACAAGCTGGGCATGACATAAACACACTTGACTTTCAATCAGGTGAGCTAAGGATTTACTTGTGAAAACATTTAAAAACTAAAACCATAATTTGCATAATGAGCTCACCTCAAGTGGGATATTGTAGAGGGTGGGATCATCATTTGGAATGCTATCATCAGGTTTAAAACAATAACCATTTGCCTGAAACAAGACCAACAACATAATGATATATCATGTTAGCTTCAGCATATAATTTGCTTGAAAACATTCAAGCCAAAAAGTAATGATTCATGTTGTTTTATAAAATTATAGCATAGAAATCAATAATCAAATAGTAAACTTGCCAACTGGATGTTATGGACTGTGGACTAGTAGCTTTTCAACAGAACTTCTAAACTACAAATAGTATGGGTGAGTCAGGGTGACTATGAGATGAATCATCAAAACACTCTATCCCAGAGAAATACAATACTACTGCAACATGTGTCTCAGATACTACTGCAACATGTGTCTCAGATACTACTGCAACATGTGTCTCAGATACTACTGCAACATGTGTCTCAGATACTACTGCAACATGTGTCTCAGATACTACTGCAACATGTGTCTCAGATACTACTGCAACATGTGTCTCAGATACTACTGCAACATGTGTCTCAGATACTACTGCAACATGTGTCTCAGATACTACTGCAACATGTGTCTCAGATACTACTGCAACATGTGTCTCAGATACTATAGCAACATGTGTCTCATATACTACTGCAACATGTGTCTCAGATACTACTGCAACATGTGTCTCAGATACTACTGCAACATGTGTCTCAGATACTATAGCAACATGTGTCTCATATACTACTGCAACATGTGTCTCAGATACTACTGCAACATGTGTCTCAGATACTACTGCAACATGTGTCTCAGATACTACTGCAACATGTGTCTCAGATACAACTGCAACATGTATCTCTGATACTACTGCAACATGTGTCTCAGATACTACTGCAACATGTGTCTCAGATACTACTGCAACATGTGTCTCAGATACTACTGCAACATGTGTCTCAGATACTACTGCAACATGTGTCTCAGATACTACTGCAACATGTGTCTCAGATACTACTGCAACATGTATCTCTGATACTACTGCAACATGTGTCTCAGATACTATACCAACAGGTGTAATGAAGGAGTGAGTTTGGTTTTACGCCGCCTTTAGCAATATTCCAGCAATATCACGGCCGGGGACTCCAGAATATATTCTACCCATATGGGGAAATCAAACCTGGGTCTTTGCTGTGACAAGCAACACTTTAACTACTAGGCTACCCCACCGTCCCTTGCAATAGGCGTATCAGGTACTACTGCAATATGTATATCAGATACTACTGCAATAGGCATATCAGAGACTATTGCAATGGATGTATGGGCTACTATTGCAATGGATTATTCAGCTACTATTGCAAAAGATTATTCAGATACTATTGCAATGGATTATTCAGATACTATCACAATGGATGTATGGGCTACTATTGCAATGGATTATTCAGCTGCTATTGCAATAGATTATTCAGATACTATTGCAATGGATGTATCAGCTACTATTGCAATAGATTATTCAGCTACTATTGCAATGGATTATTCAGATACTATCACAATGGATGTATGGGCTACTATTGCAATGGATTATTCAGCTACTATTGCAATGGATTATTCAGCTACTATTGCAATGGATTATTCAGCTACTATTGCAATGGATTATTCAGCTGCTATTGCAATAGATTATTCAGATACTATTGCAATGGATGTATTGGCTACTATTGCAATGGATATATCACCTACTAGTACAATGGATTATTCAGCTACTGTTGCAATGGATTATCAAGCAACTATTGCAATGGATTATTCAGCTACTATTGCAATAGATCATTCAGATACTATTGCAATGGATGTATGGGCTACTACTGTAATGGATTATTCAGCTACTATTGCAATAGATCATTCAGATGCTATTGCAATGGATGTATCAGCCACTATTCCAATGGATTATTCAGCTACTATTGCAATAGATTATTCAGCTACTATTGCAATGGATTATTCAGCTACTATTGCAATGGATTGTTCAGCTACTATTGCAATGGATTATTCAGCTACTATTGCAATGGATTATTCAGCTACTATTGCAGTGGAGTATTCAGCTACTATTGCAATGGATTGTTCAGCTACTATTGCAATGGATTATTCAGCTTCTATTGCAATGGATTATTCAGCGACTATTGCAATGGATTATTCAGATACTAATGCAATGAATGTATGGGCTACTATTCCAATGGATTATTCAGCTACTATTGCAAAGGATTATTCAGCTACTACTGTAATGGATTATTCAGCTACTATTGCAATGGATTATTCAGCGACTATTGCAATGGATGTATCAGATACTATTGCAATGGATGTATCAGATACTATTGCAATGGATTATTTAGCTACTATTGCAATGGATTATTCAGCTACTTTTGAAGTGGAGTATTCAGCTACTATTGCAATGGATTGTTCAGCTACTATTGCAATGGATTATTCAGCAACTATTGCAATGGATGTATCAGATACTATTGCAATGGATGTATCATCTACTATTGCAATGGATTATTCAGCTACTATTGCAGTGGAGTATTCAGCTACTATTGCAATGGATTGTTCAGCTACTATTGCAATGGATTATTCAGCTACTATTGCAATGGATTATTCAGCGACTATTGCAAAGGATTATTCAGCTACTGTTGCAATGGATGTATCAGGTACTATTGCAATGGATGTATGGGCTACTTTTGCAATGGATTATTCAGCTACTGTTGCAATGGATGTATCAGATACTATTGCAATGGATGTATGGGCTACTATTGCAATTGATTATTCAGCTACTATTGCAATGGAAGTACAAGATACTTTCTTCACAAGTGAAAGAGGCTGGGGACAATTAAGCAAACAAGAGATCTCACAACTTGATACTCTTGGTATTGCAATGTATCAAATCTTAAGGGAGGTGCCAATCCCATCATTTAACAGGGGTTCAAAGCATTTGGTAACAAGCATGGTATACTGACGAACAGGTGCATCAGATACTATTGCAGCTATTCTGCCCCACATAACCCTGATGACAACTAACATGACCTCACTTCCACAAAACCTCATGTGATCTCACTTCCACGTCTCACGTCAGTATTACCTCATTGTCTGTTTCACAAACACAGGTGTACAGGTTACTTCGGATACCCAGGATCCTGTTACACCGAACACATCTGAAATCAAGAAGTCATGGCAAACAAATTCAAAATTTGCAAAATCATCAATGACATAGGTATTGGTGAATTGGTAAATCATAAAAGTAATAAAACAAGACTTTTGAAAATGTGTACCAAAGATTCCACATACGTCGTGTACATCCTGACTGCATGTATACAACTCCACTTTTGACAGGGATCATTTCCATGACCATGTTACACAAACCTGTTTCTCATTATGTGTACATGTGTATCTTTAATTCGAATGACATCTGATGACCCAATAAAAAGCTTAGTATTATTAGTAATTGGGGGCCCAGGTAGCCCAGTTGTCTAAGGCGCCGCGATTTCCTGTGCAGAGTTGCATCCCTTGAGCACACCAGAAACCTATGATTGTGGGTTCGAGTCCTGGTTGCCTCGATTTTGTTTCTAAGTTTGTCAGCACCATACCCGTGCTTGTTAGTTTCACTGAAGTGGTAAATGTCTGAGACCTGCATCACTTCAGGCTTTCCTCCGACATTACGCTGCACGCCGCGATATAACTGGAATACTGTTAGTGGCAGCATTAAACCCAACCCACTCACTTAGTAATAAGTACTAGTATATATTAAACAGTGTTCGAATTAAGGGGGTCCTTCAGGTTTGTGGAAGCCATAGTATTTGAATCAAATGACGACATGAATCTTTACTTTTTACATTAGGACTATGACAAAGACACCCTGAGTTTCATGCACAATTTCAATACTGTTAGATAGGAGAGGGACCAAATCCATGATGATATGTGATATGGGGCATACCTTCCTTCGGGTGACTTCTCCTATTGCCTACATTGTCTTCAAAACAATCTCAAGATTCAGGCCAGACAATGGTAAAACCTTCATTCTAATAGACTTATCCATGCAATGCCATTTGATACTTGTAGTTTATTGTATATACATTAACATAGTAAAAACTTAATAAATGTTTGGTTTCTGTTCTTGGGAAATAATCTTCATAAGATCAAACATAAAAACACACACAACCGTTGATGTATCGACCCTTTAATTATCACTGACACTGAATTGTCAAATATTAAGCACTGTTCGTGGACACAATCTTAGATTCTCAGTTCTCATTTAGTCCAGGACAAGCATCATAATCTCCTACAGGTGTTGAGTAGTAAATCTAGTTAAGTCCGTTAATCTTATTGTCTTTCATTTGATGTGACTGGGCTAAACAAGTTCAGAAATGAAAAAATTAAATTGTCATGGGAAAAGTAGGAAATACGTTCATTGCTGTGAAAATGAACAAGTTATGAATTAACTTCAGTCAGCATAATATCATGCAAAATCACAGAATATATTTGTGAATTTTTACTTTATTAAGGTTAAATTGCAGAAAAAGGTCTTAATAACGTGAAACTTTAAAACAAATTTTAAGCAATGTTAAGAGAAGCGAAAACATTGCAGGACAAGCACAAAATAATATCTACTTGCCCTGATGGACAAGTTGTATTTGACAAAAAAAATTCAAGCGCTGCAAACGTATAGAGACAAATAGAAATTACCGGGATTCATAAGAGTGGATCATATTATAGAACATATTATAGAAGTTGCTCCATTTTTAATGATTCCACGTTTTGTACTTCGAAAAAGAGATTGGTCAAACTGAATAAGTTAGGTAGATATATCTTACACAGAAATATGGACACACAAAAATGTATCCAATATCAGCTAGATTAAAAATAGTATGTCTGCACTCTGGCAATGAACTTAACTAAACCAAACCAACCTCAATCACTTGAAAAAGAGGAAAAAAGTATCAAAATCCAATGTAACAAGCCAGCCATTAAGAGAAACAAAGGCATCTGCCTACCCAGCGTGTTCTCTAAAGGGCTCTAACCAATCAGTACCCACAACTGGACATCTTGTTTGTCTTATTGTTATATTGTCCCCCTAGTCATCTTCTTGTTATCACAAGGCTCATCATCAAATAGCCTGAAAACGCTCGTAACAAATGACAATAAAGTTGTTATTCACTATCCATAAAGTTTCAGGTTCTTCCAACTTCCAAATGCTAAAAAAACCTTTATTATTACATTTTCCATAAATTTTTTTAAGAAAGCTGGTCAGCTGAAATTTCAAAACAGCATTCTTATATTCTAAAACAATACCATATTTTCTACCTGTCTCCAGCATAGTTGAGGGAAGTGTAATTTGCACAGTTCTGACAGACTCTGGCATTGGCAGCTGTGACCCAGTTTCCATCAACTCCACGACCCACTGTAAACAGACATGTATAAACTTAGTAGAACATATTGAACATAATGGGACTTGCTTTTAACTTACATTTTGCAATACCGTATTTGATGTAATAAGCGCCCAGGGCGCTCTCAAAATTGGAATAGGGGGCTCTTATTAAAATATTATTTTGGTGAACTAAAAACAGAGTTGAAAGATAAATTTCGTGGTTTATGCTGACAGCCTGAAATGTTTATGTACGGCAGATGTATTTTTTTCAGAATTTAATTGCCCATAATTAATGGTGCATATAACACGGGAGTGCGTATTATACATGAATGAATAAGTCTTGTTTACATTGATCAATCAGAAGGGGTGCTAATTGGGATTGTTCACGTGCCAATACATTAGCAAATATCACCGTGGGCGCTTATTAGAGTGGGGTGCTTATTACGTTGAATACGGTATTCCAAATTATATCCTTTTCATCATTGTATTCTCTGATGAGGATGGAATTACTAACAACAGCAAATGAAAATCTAGGGTTAGAACCGGTCTTCAACAACCCTTGCTTGTTGTAAGAGGCGACTAACAGGAATGGGTGGTCACGCTCGCTGACTTGGTTGATGCATGTCATCGTATCCCCAATGCTCTTGAGTTGATGTCAACCACTGGAATGTCCCCTCCAGATTTGATTGTTGTAGAACTCTGTCATTATAGCTTGAATATTGCTGAGTGCGGTGTCAAACATCACAGTAACAAACAATAACAGATCACATCATTCTGGAAAGTTGATAATGCTGATGATTTAACTGATAACACCACAAAAACTACTAACAGTGAGTAGCCACAAATAACAGCAATACTGCTGATGCATCTTAAAGAAACATCTACTCAGTCACGAACAGTGAGTGAATTGGGAAAACATTCGAATCCTCTCCCATCAATCTCCACGACTTCACTAAAAGAAAACTAGCAGAAGCAGTCCAGATTCGCCGCCACAATCCTATCAACAGAGATTTATACTATTTCAAACCTATTATAAACTTATCCAATAATCGAGTCTGGACCAGACAATCCAGTGTTTGACATCACGAGCATTGATCCATGCAAATGGGATACGATGATATGCATCACACAAGCCTCGTACGACAGGCATAGTCGCCTTTTACGGCAAGCATGGGTTGCTGAAGACCTTATTATACCCCAGATCTTCATTCAGTCTTGCTTGACAATCGTATAAGAATCTATACCGAAACATCACTATTACAGTATAATAAAGAAGTTGTTATCCATATCATTTTTGTCTCCTTTGTCAATTTCTGATCAATGCCCTATGAAACTTGCCATGAATTATGTATTGCAATATGCATCGTAATATGAACAAAGTATCATGATACATATCATATTGTGGTATACTGACGGGACTTCGGATTCCATTTCCCTGCTCATAACAGTGAGTGAGTGAGTGAGTTGGGTTTCACACTGCTTTTAACAGTATTCCAGTTATATCACAGTGTGTCAACTTAATTTGGGAGGAAAGGCCGAAATGATGCAGGTCTCAGACGTTTACAACTTTGGTAAAACCCACTAATCATGCTAATGTGGGTATGGTGCTGACAAACCTAGAACATTATCGGGGCGAACCGGTTTCTGGCATGTCCAAGGGACGCGACTAAACACAGCGAATTGTGGCACCTTAGACGACTGGGTCGGCCATGCCCCCCCACCCTGCTCATAACATGCTTGATCAGTATATCTCTGCAGTGGGGGTACATCATCATGTTGATATGAATAATATGAATACCTTGTACTTGCGGCCGAGTGGATGATGAACAGCTGGAACAGGTCTTAGTGGCAGTGACAGTCCCCGGACATGTAACACACTCCCACCCATCTGGTGACGTAACCTAGACAACAGTTCATGGGAAACACAAACATGAGTCCTGTTCAGAATACCAGACTCAAAACAAATCCAAAGCAATGTAAAGCTGACCCTTACAATAGAATGAACAAAATACATAACTGACTGAATTCACAAATCAACTTTCCATGGCATTTTCTATACTTTGCCAAATGATAAACCCTTATTTATAATTTCTAACCCTAAACCCAAAGAAAAGGATATGAAAAACATTATGGTAAGGGTTAGGAATCAAAAAGTCCCCCCCCCCCCCCACACACACACACTTTATCATGTATCTACAAAAGAAGGCATTGAAACTTGCTCCTGCAGATGTCCATGTGCCATTGTATCACTTGAAAATACTGATATGCGTCTCTCTGATATCACTTCCTCATAGGGGCAGTCGGGTAGCCTAGTGGTTAAAGCGTTTGCTCGTCACGCCGAAGATCCAGGTTCGATTCCCGACATGGGTACAATGTGTGAAGCCCATTTCTGGTGTCCCCTGCTGTGATATTACTGGAATATTGCTACAAGTGACATTAAACCATACTCACTCACTCACATTCATCTTTGTCAATTTGCTTACAACAGAAATAACAAATATAATTGCATTTCTTTTAAAACTCCTGTATATTTCTTTCACAGACAATTGCAAAGTATGCCGTCTATTTATGATATGAGCGACATGAGTGACATGTACATCGCTATTATTTCTAAACATGTGCGAGAGATAAAACATAAGGGAGTGAGTGAGTGAGTTGGGTTTAACGCCGCTTTTAACAGTATTCCAGTCATATCGCGGCGTGTCAGCTTAATGTGGGAGGAAAGCCTGAAGTGATGCAGGTCTCAGACGTTTACCACTTCGGTGAAACCTACGAGCACGTGTATGATGCTGACAAACCTAGAAACATAATCGGGGCGAACCGGGATTCGAACCCACGATCATAGGTTTCTGGCGTGCTCAAGGGACGCAACTCTGCACAGCGAATTGCGACGCCTGAGACGACTGGGCCACCCGTTCCCCCTAAAACATAAGACATGTAAGAGAAACAACACTCAGCTTAACAATCTTACTTGATCAGCTGGACAAGCCTGGCACTTCACTTGGGTGCCACCAAAGTCTGCAGTGTACTTGAACCCTGGGTTACACTCGCACGTAAGACCTGGAAGTGGGAAGAGTTGAGAGTGAGTAAACATTCTGTAACATACACACATGTCGGAGGTAAGTTTAATCAGAGGTCGACTTAACCACTGGTCTGTTGGCCCATGGCCAGTTAAAACATGGAAGGGTTAAATCAAAAGCAAAGTAACCAGTCATAACAAATGGAATAAACAATCATAAATGGAATTGATAATTATTATTTGTTTCTACTCCTGACATTACCATGATTACCTCCCTTCGATAACAGATGTGTTATGACGAAAATACTATATCTGTTATGATGACTTGAAATTTTTATTTGGATTAAGGACAGTTGAACTTAAAAGAAATTTGTCACGGGTGCTGTTGTACAAAACAACCTTAGTACTACGACTGTCCTAAGTCTATGTTAAGGTATGGGAGTTACAATCACCTTAGCACCAAGATCGCTGTGTGGAACGGCACCCTGGCTCTGCTGCCTAGTCAGATTGTCTAAAGGCAGGTTAGGTAAAAAAGTGGAGGTAGCCCTGAGGGCCAGTCACAAAATTATTCTTACAAATACCACTGATATTATGAGTAGTATCACACAGGGATAGACTGGACCACTGGTCAGTCAGTCGAGTCGAGTCAAAATATAGAAAGGCTAGTTATTTTCTCTCAGAATGGAGTTATTTTACATAAACCACTGATCTGATTTGGTAATAGCCGGATATAACCATTAACCAATGGTGTCAAACCTCTGTCACAGTTGGGACTAGCCAGATATAACCAATGGTGTCAGCCTATGTCACTTTATATAACCAATGCCATTATGGCATCAGCCTGTCACAGGATATAACCAATGGCGTCAACCTCTGTCACTGTTGGGACTAGCCAGATATAACCAATGGCATCAGCCTCTGTCACAGTGGGGACTAGTAAGATATGACAGCCTGTGACAGGATATAACCAATGGCATCAGCCTCTGTCACAGTGGGGACTAGTTAGATATAACAGCCTGTGACAGGATATAACCAATGGCATCAGCCTCTGTCACAGTGGGGACTAGTTAGATATAACAGCCTGTGACAGGATATAACCAATGGCATCTGCCTCTGTCACAGTGGGGACTAGTTAGATATAACAGCTTGTGACAGGATATAACCAATGGCATCAGCCTGTGGCAGTAGAGACAAGTCGGATATAAGCAATGACATCAGTCTGTAGCAGTGGAGACAAGCCAGATATAACCAATGGCATCAGCCTGTCACGGTGGAGACTAGTTGGATATAAGCAATGACATCAGTCTGTAGCAGTGGAGACTACCCAGATATTAAACCGCATTATCAGTGTTTCATATTGGGGAGGTCACTCTAATTTCAAACGTGAGCTATCTCCGTTGTTTTCGTATTTGCGAGAAATGGCGTCAGTCATGCTGTACATTGTTGGTCCAGCTTTAAACGCCCAGCTTATCCCTAAGGTAAAACGTATTCTTAATTAAATGTTTGAATGCATTATATATGTATGTTTCCATCCGTACATCTTCTTAGATTGGTTTAGTGCTGATAACCATTTTAGAAAATGTGGGCCTACATTTTTCCCGTCATATATGGTGATCGAAACAAGTGGGCCCACATTTGTATATCGCCTAGCTTCGTTAGGTTGTTTACTTAGTTCTGATAATCAATTCCTAAATATGGGCATATTGAATGATCGCAACAGGGGGGGACCACACTTATTAATTGCAAAATTCTACTTTAATATTGATAATCATTTTCTCAAATGTGGGCCCACATTGTTCCCATCATATATGGTGATCGAAACAAGTGGGCCCACATTTGTATATCGCCTAGTATGTAGACGTTCTTCCGTCATAGTGATTGCAACAGGAGGGACCACATTTATAAATCGCTAAGCTTCATTAGCCTGGCTTACTTATAACCATTTTCTAAAATGTGGGCCCACGTAATTCCCGTCTTATAGTGATTCGAAACAGGTGGGCCCACATTTGTAAATCGCTGGGCTTCATTGGGTTGACTAAGTCATTTAGGCTAGTTGGCTCACATTTGTCATTACTTTGCATGGGTATGTGACATTATATATTATTCATATTTTTTAATATTGATGGGAAATATCTGTATAAATGCACACAGTCTTTGAAGTGTGAATAACGTCATTATAGCTGATCACACTAGTTTATCAAAAATAGTTACAAAACAAGAAACTCAGATCTACTTCAAATTAAATTTACAGAGGCAATACCACTCATTCTACTTTTTCCAGAATAACACAACAATCTAATCATAAGTTTTGGTGGCGATATAAGCCTGTAAATATGTCTACACTTGAATTGATCTTGGACATGATACAAGCCTCAAACTTTTCCGAGAACTTGTTCCATAAAAGGAATAACTCATGAATATTAATGACCCACGACCTAGTTTGGCGATGTTCATAGAAGTGAGTTCTGCTGTATTGTCATCGCATTTGTACATTCTAATCCAGTTACCGGGTTACTTATTTTAAATAGACAAAATAGCAGTTCGTAATGCGGGTTTGTTTACGTTGTACATATTCTCAACAACAAGTGCGTTTAGTTTAGAATGTGGGCCCACCTCGAACTTTCGATCAGGCAAACGGAGTTAGCTCCCTTCTCGAACCACCAATAATGCGGTTTCGCCAACCAATGGCATCAGCCTGTCACAGTGGAGACTAGTTGGTTATAAGCAATGGCATCAGTCTGTAGCAGTGGAGACTAGCCAGATATAACCAATGGCATCAGCCTGTCACAGTGGGGACTAGCCGGATAAACAAATGGCATCAGCCTGTCACTGTGGGGACTAGCCGAATAAACAAATGGCATCAGCCTGTAGCAGTGGTGTAACAGTTCATTACACACACTTGATACAGCATCATAAATGAGACTGAAGGGGTCGTTGGCATGGGTACTACAGGTATGTATCTGAGGTACGTTTCAGTGAACAGAAATGTATCCTAGCCTAAATCAGAATACATAACAATTTCCAGTACCCTAAACGGCAGATGAGTCAATATTCCTCAATGCAAAACGGAAACCAGTTCATGTTGTAGTTCTGAATCACCTGATTATGAGTGTATGTTGGATAATGCTGTGCATTGCAGAACATAAGTGTGCTTTAAGTATGTCACTGTGTATGCTCGTTTTTTTCTATAGCACTCTGGAATGCATCTCATCTGTTCATCAACAGTATGAGTGAGTGAGTGAGTGAGTTTGGTTTTTCGTCCCTTTATCAATATTCCAGCAATATCACAACGGGGGACACCAGAAATGGGCTTTACAAATTGTACCCATGTCGTGAATCGAAACCCGGGTCTTCAGTGTGACGTCAACAGTATGACACAGGGGCGGAAGCTAACACTTTTAGTCCACTTGTCATCATAATGATAACATGTTGCAAAACCCTTAAAAACCTGTAGTCCTTGCCAAACTGCCTAGAAGTTAAAGTATCATAAGGACAAGAAGAAATTTGACATTTTTAAGTGTTTTGCTATATGTTGTCATTATAAGGACTAGTGGACAAAAAAATGTTCATTTCTACTGCTGATTTATTGTTTAGACATTTAGTTAACTTATTGACAAGATATTCTGGAATGTCACAATGTCACATGGTCTCCAAGTCCATCTCTTCCTGAGGTAGTGGTCCATGGATAGCACTGCATGCAGTCAGTAGTCGTAAAACTGTCATCTGCCCATCTTTCCAGAGGATTCTTCTTGTGTTAGCTCCTTGTACTGAACTCCAGGTTCACATACACTGTTAATCCATCCCTGACAAGAGTCACAGGGTAAAGCCTTTTGATTTCTCGGAACCGTTTTCTTACACAGATCGGGGATAAACTAAGCCCTCACTTCTCGAGAGGTTCTCCGAAATTATTGTCAGAAACAAAATAACAATTAATATATGGGACCAATTTTGGGGCATCACTAATCTTCACTTCTTCAGTATGAGTTATTGTCTGTGGCATCTCTGGCTTTTTAAGTGCCATTGATTATACTCAGACCCCATGGTACCGCGGCATTTGTAATTTCCGATAGTTCACGCGGGACACGCCTCTTAGCGGCTGTCTATTAATGCAAATCAGTAGCTAGGAAGTGCTCACTTCGTAACCATTTTCAATTTCCTCGGAATGTTCCGTCTGCTGTAAGTAAGGAGTTATTAAACCGTTGATACATATTTCTGGCATCTGTTGTAATATTGCCTTACCCCCATCTGTCAATGGCCAACGATATAACCCGCAGTTCTCCAAGTAAACTTTCTCTATCGACCTGAACTAGATCATCTGCATATTCATGGCGACTAATGAGGTAACGGAAGTTACATAGTCCGCACATTTTTTTCCGCTCTGTGCCCAGAATCTATTGGGAGATCATAAGGGCCATAATGCCAAACTTAGAAATACGTTCTTCACTAGTAATCAAAAGATAAATACATACTTTGGGCATACTAGGAGTGCTTTTTATATATTTATTGTTGACTTTTAACATTTTTCCATTTTGTGACAAATTATTGTCATCCAATATTTTTTAGACAATCTTAAAATATCATTTCTGATATTTTGTTGTTGACTTATAAAAATATTTTTCTCTTACTTTTCATTAAAAATGCATTCAATACCTATTGCTGATAACACATTTAGAATTTTACTTGTGCTGTCTTTGCACTTGTCTGGACAAATCACTGATGTCTGGCATGATCATTCCAAGTGGTTGGTAGAATTATGTCCTCTTTTTGTCCAATTCGGACCTCCATACACAACTTTTCTCTGTACCGCGATACGATGGAGTTCTCTCCCTTGTCAAACAGCGCGAGGCCCGGCTTTTACTCGGAGCTTAAATAATGAACTTTTATCAGTAAAATATGCATTGTTAGATCAAATATATGATATCTGATATAGAGAACACGAATAAACATAAAGGTTAGTGAGTGCATTTTGTTCCGTTTAGCATACATGACAAGTACCGCGATACCCCGAGGTTGCAGGCTACTACAAAATGAAAAACAAACAAAATAACAATGTTAATAGTGTCAAATGGGAGACAAGGGTCTAATGTAACAATCGGCCAACTTAGTTATATTTGGGGCCATTTCCTCCCAAACATGGGACCATTTTCTCCAAAAGTTATGGCCATTTTCACAAAAATTTGGGGTCATTTTCTCCAAATTGTCTGGGGCCATTTCAGTATGGTGCTATTTTCTTTATAACTACTCGTCCATGGCTATCCATTAACTTTTCAATTACAATTCATTATTACTTATGCCGTGCTGTGAACAAGTCCAACTGGCAAGACGCACAATACTAGTTCGGTCTCAGACTTGTTCATACAGGAATAGCACTTACCATCGGAGCTTGCTTTCTGGAGTGTGCTATTTTCACTACACGGTTGGCAGGTCATTGAGACAGCATCGTAAAATTCGTGGAAAAGTTCACTTGGTCCGTTTTTACAGTCAGCTTTAGTTTGGAATGATGAGTAGTACGTTTGAGCATTTGTTACATGAACGACGATGAGTAAGAATAGGAATTCCATTCGAATCCCCGCCATGTTGGTTGTCTGTAAACATTCAATATACTACTTCCCTCACGACTATTCAAGTTTACAACAGCGAACGTGTCACTTGGCTCTCAAAGCGCCTAATGTATTTGAAAATGTACATGAATACAAAACTATTTATATCTTTAAATACAGTGTTGACATGGATTTCAACTTCTGTATTCTTTCAATGTGACGTTTCGGTACAGATGCTGGAATTTATCAAGCAAGATAAAATGTCGCATTGAAAAAAAAGGAAAAAAGTTGGCATCCAATTATTATAAATAAACTCTATCTTCAATGATACTACAGCTTCTAAATTGTCACTTACAGATATTGAATTTCTTCGTGTATATATATTTCATAAGCAGCCTATAATTCCCATATATTTTAGTGATAATGGAATATATTTATATAATGGCTTTGTTCAGAACCATTTAGTGATTTCATGAAAAGCACTCTCATTATCAAAGTTGCAATTTATATGCACAACTAATTTAGGTCAATAAACATTTACTTTGAACTTCTTTGTTCCTTCACTATATTTTGTTCAATACAACTAAGTATATTATGCAGGCAGTCGAAATGTCGTTAGTCACAATCATCTATAAACCGGCGTAATAGTAATGTACTTTGCTTATATTGTAATTTTGTTGTTATTCTTTGAGCGGCTACCTAATGGAGTCAGTTGTGTAGAGAATGGAATTTGCTGCTGCATTAATTAATTCGCTACGAATGAAAAAAATAATATATGGTTCAAGTGCGATTTTGTTTGACATAGTGTTAGTCCATTGGGGATTCAATCAAACTGTAGTAATATATTCATAGCCTTTTTTCAGTATCTGTTTTTTTTTCTTTTAGTTGCGCACTAACGCCATTTGCATAGAGTCACTTCTGGGGTGATTGTAGAATATCCTAAAAATGTACATTCAAGAAAGAAGATGCTGAAGAAGACGTGTTTATAACTTTGGAGGTAGATTGTTACGGTTTATGCTTGCCTTTAACGAATCATTATGGCACAAGCGCAAGGATTCACTGAAATCGATTGAGAGTTATGTCGGTTACAGAAATAGTGAAGAGACCGCGCTTTGTAGACGGATCAAAATGGCGTCTCGATGTATCTGTAGCTTTGCGAGCAGGACATTCTTGTAACAATTGGCTAAGTTGATGTATTTTTGACGAAACATTAGATGTGAATTAATAATTTCACCGTTGTGCGTTAAGATAGTGGATGTTAAAGTGATAATAACAGGTGAATGGAAATGTAGGCATCGTTTTTCGTCACGTGACCGTAGCGACCACGCCAAATTGTGCGGAAGCACAACGAAAGTCGGGAACGCTAAGAGAGCGAGAACTCGTGTATGATATACGGAAGCGTCCTTCTTCAATGTACGTATTGGGTTCATTCGTTTGGAGAGTTTAAATAGTTCTCACTCTAATTAGGAATCAACGATCGAACGACCTATCCACGTGTTGAATCAATCCATTGACCAATCGAAGATATTATGTAGCCTACAATTCTCCAATCTCCCTTCGTACCAGTATAACTACATGAACTATGTCCCATTTGCGAAGAAAGAATTTATGAAAAGTGAGTATCTTGTAATGTTCTGCTGCGGGGAAACACAACTTTGTAAAAACACCAAACCTAATTTTTAACAGCACGTGTACTAAGACCAACTAGATCTAGACAAATTGGAGCTTATCTTCACTTTGGCTATGGACACCGACATTCGCATTACGAATGAATGCTGGAGCATGAGTTTGGACTATCACCTGACTACTCAACCATGTTCAGAAGTGGAAACTTATCAGCATGGTGAAAAGAATGAGACCCAAACAAGTTCATCAAGGCATGGATAGTCATGATGTCTAACAATGGAGGACCTCGTCTGTATACAAGTTGCAAGTTGACACTAATCATGCAAAATTCAATAGTTTGACCCTGTTAACAGGACACGCAAATATTAATTGTGCTACTATTACTATTATTAACACAGTTTAAATTAATAACTGATTCTATTTGTCTGCTTGTGGTGAATATGAATTGTAAGTAATATTTTAATACTGTCCTCATCTTTCCATCTATCTGGTTGTGACTCAAATGAGGTAATGTCCTCAATACCACTTCCCATGCAAATCAATTTCTTAAATTACCACATTGATTTTGATTAATAAATCACATCTTTTTCATTTTAGAAACAAATCTGAATTGATTTTAGTCTTGGAGGAAGACAAAAGTTCATTATATAAAAACTAGGGATACTGCTATTCATTTGTGCATTTGTGAAAACTAATGTATCTAATTATTAACTTGATAAATGATTGTTACCATGTTACAATGTTGTAACCTGCTAAATTACAAATGCCAGGAGTCACAGCTTACTTGCTTCAAATAGTGCATTACACATGTTACACACCAAGGAGCCAATTCAGATTTCTATGAACCAACCAATATTGATAAAAAATATGAATTGTAGAAAAGAAAATGATCAAACATATCTTTTTAGGTCTCAGAGTAGAGACAAGGGGTACAGGTGTGCCATATAATTATGAACAAACTGTTTTTCAAAGTTTTTCAAAACATTGTATACTATAACAGCAATTGATCATTGTTGTAAAGGAATTATATAAAATGTTTTCATCACATCAGCAACAATATGAAAACATTACTTTGTCGACTGAAATAAGTTCGCTTCTGAGAAATTGAAGGGTATTTTTAAACATAATACAGCAAACTGATGGTGCCAATTATCCGTTGTAGATTTCACACCCATGTGTGGAAAGTGTGTGTGTTAATACCGGCATCATTTGAAAACGCTCAATTTTTACTTGCACAACATTGAATTTCCTTATCGTCACGTATGTTTTGTGGTTAAGATACGCTACCTTGAGCAACATGTCTCTTCGTGATCTTCGCATGACCAACGAAAATAAACAACTTCAAGCAGTGCGTACATTGATTGAAGAGTCGGGACCGAACTGATTTTTTGCCGTGAGGAGCTGTTATTGGATTATTCAGAATAGCAGATGCTATGCACAAACAAAACATCGTACTCATTAGAATATATAATTTTCAAAGAAGCAGTCATGTGTAACCGTCTTGTCGCAAAACTGCATTATTTAAAGTCGCTGGTATTGAAACATGGTAGAACATTAAGATCACACAGCCGACCATGTGGTCACACGTTAGATGTTTTGTTATCATAGATATTACAGTATTAAATTTAAATGTTCATCTGCCTAATTGTATGATGACTTTCTTGTTGACGAAAAGGGGATATTGAGACATGGTTGTCCATGAAATGATGTAATTCCCTATTCTCATGTGTGCTTGTTACTTTCAGATACATGACATTGAAAGACATGCAGTCAAATTAAAAGTTCTTTTACTCTTGACACCCCTGTAAAGATCAGACAAACCCTCCTCCTTGAGAGGTCACGTCAGCTGAACCCTTGGCAAAATATGTTTCCCAATCTAAACAAAGGAGGCATAGCTTCTTGAGCCAATCAGATGCTAACTTTCCCACATGATCTGGCGTCATTTCATCTGTACAAAATGAAAAAAAACACAGACCAAAAATATACCATCAATTGAACATATTATTTTTATGTGGATGCCATGGAGGTCACAAAAGACTAGATGTTTAAAATGTCTTCAGTATAATGGACAGCATAGGACACTTCCTAAATATTTTGCATTGGAATAGTTTTGTTCATTTCTTGAGATAAAGAAATTTGATATGCAGCTCTGAATGCTTTCCTCACTTGTACCAATTATTTATCAGCACAGATTGGCTGAATGCAAAAGTTCAACTAAGCTGACCTACAGAGGGTTTGTCAGATCTTCATGCACAGAGGTATCATATCTGAGTAATAGTACTGATTTGAATGAGATTGATAAAATAACACGTGAATGAAAATTTACATGTCACACAAATGTGAAACGATACATAAAAACCCGGATGCACAGCGTTACCATTGATACATGGCCTTTGATATGATACATGTAACACTATACATGATGAAACAAAACTTAACAAATGAATGACCCTATCTTACTATGCAAGCTGTGCTGTAGAGAAACGTTGGCCACTCTTCAACTTGTCTTTTCTTTTCAACAGCCAATCACAAGGCTTAACACTAGGGCTCCTCAACATGGCCAGGGACACACTTGCTCAACATGGCAGAGGGTGGGGATAAATTTGAGCTTGAAACAATGCCTGCATCATACAATCGGCTGTTTTGATTCTTGGTTTTTGCTTCCTTGTTACGTTTTGTGACAAAGAAGAAAGTCTGTCTCCATTGTTTCACTCAAGTGAAATACACACTGGCACCACTAATACGATGACACCAGTGTTTCGAGATGGGTATCATAGTGTGACCTTCCACATAGTTGTAAACCTGGTGGTCTTGCAATAAAGACATTGCACACAACACCAATACACTGAACATATTTAAATTGAAAATCTCTTTTAAATCAGTTATTTTCATTGTACACAACCACAAATACAAATGTAGTCAGAACTAACCCAAACAGAAACACATGTCATGAGAAATGGGACTGACCATAGTGCAACCATTGATCAATGTGTTTTTGTCATGTTTCAAGAACCACAGTTCATTAAATTACTAGCGAACCTTATTTGTGATGCAACGTGCACAACACACATCTCAACGACAACAGTAGGATACATGCTACCATGCAAATTCATTAGTCATGTGAGAGCAGTTCTCCATAAAAGGAATGACCATGGTCACAATATATTAGTTAACATGGTTTGTGAACTGTTCTTCCTTTTTTTAAGTTTTACGATTCATTTTCATACCGTTTACACACATTGTGTCTACCTTGTACCATTTGGGTTCATCTCGGTCTCGTAGGAATAGGAATCCATACAACTAGCTTGTGCACATTGCTATCACATGACACGTCAACCTGGCCGCAGTCGTGAATCTTGTATGACCGTTTGTTTTTGTCATATGTGGTAGTTAGTTATACAAATTATATGCAGCAGAATCTGGCATTGCATGGTTTTATGTGAATTACTTCAATATCACTACTCCATTGCTGTCCGAAAAAAATGGAGAACCTTTTGAATCGTCCAGTGGCTTTGAGTGCTCCTTATTCATGTTGGTATCAGAAATTAAGGATAAATGTAAAATTTATCCTTTATGGTGATACATTCTTGTTATTATAACCCTCATGTTATTAACTGAAGATTAAAGAAGTGTCAAGATCAGTATGCTCTATCCGAAACCTCAAGAACACCGGGTTTCTGCAGTATTTTGAACACTGCATGTTTCATACACAGGAATCAATACGATTACCATCCCCTTATCAGATGTCTCACAAACGGGTGTTGGATCGATCAGTTTGGGAAGCTGGTCAGTGGAAACCTTTGATTTACAGCGCAATACTACATCGTCTATAACAACCTTTGCCTTATTCTCTTATTTCCAAACATACACATGATATAAGTGTAATTTATTTTCATTGTAAGTGAACCTTGAATAGTGATTTAAATCTGGAAAGCGGTAACTTGTGTTTGCTCCGATCTGGAATCTTAATGTCACTAAACACTAAATAAAATAGTCCTTTCAGTGAATAAAGTTAGCTACACATTGTTTCAGTCAAATATGACAATGAAAACGACAAAAACCCTATCTGCGTTCATAAGAAATCGCGATTGTTTGATTCCGTTTATATGAGCAGCATGTGTTTGCGAATCACTATAAAATAGTACCAGGTGTTCACAAAAAGGTTAACCTATTCTGCCCCACCGGTGGCACCCATCACAAACTCGTGCAAAAGCAAGTCAATTGTTCACCTGAAAAGCCACGAAAACATGGTACAAGTCAAGATAGGGAACAGCATTGGACATTATTTTGTCACTGATGTGTCAAGTTCGAAAATGTTCTCCACATGTCTATGATAAGACTTTCTGAAAGTTAAGGGGCACTTTTCATTGC